GGGTGGCTGGGAGGTGCAGGGAGAGGGGTTTGGGGTCGCAGTGGGGCAGGGGGTGTGGGGAGAGGGGGTTTGGGGTCATAGTGGGGCTGGGGGTAACTCCCAGTGGGGATTTGGGGTTGCAGTGGGGCAGGGGGTCACTCCCAGGAGGGATTTGGGGTCGCAATGGGGCTGGGGTCACTCCGAGGGGATTTGGGGTCACAGTGGGGCAGGGGTCCCCCCTGGCTCTGACCGTCCCCACCGTGTCCCAGTACTACGAGGTGGAGTGGACGCTGTGGGACCGGTTCGAGGTGCAGGGGCTGCAGCCCGACGGGCAGGAGATGACCCTGCGCCAGTTCCTCGCCTACTTCAAGGTACTGGGAGCAACTGGGAGGGACTGGGAGGGGACAACTGAGGCACCCCGACCAAGAGGGGAGTGCTGGGAAACAGGGAAAGGTCAATCCTCTGTGGTGGCCCATGTCCCCAAGGGCACAGGGTTCCTGTGGTGGCCACCGTCCCCAGGGCCACATGGTTCTTGTGGTGGCCACCGTCCCCAAACCCTGCTAACCCCCATGGTGGCCGATGTCCCCAAGCCTCAGTGACCCCTGTGGTGGCTGATGTCCCCAAGTCCATGAAGTTCCTGTGGGTGCCACATGGTGACCAATGTCTCTAAGGTCATGGGTGCCCTGTGGCGGTTGATGTCCCCAAGGTTGCAGGGTTCCCATGGTGGCTGATGTCCCCAAGCCCCACTGACCCCCTTGGTGGCCAATGTCTCCAAGCCCCGCTGAGCCCTGTCCCCATGTCCCCACAGAAGGAGCACCGGCTGGAGATCACCATGCTGTCCCAGGGCGTGTCCATGCTCTACTCCTTCTTCATGCCGGCCGCCAAGCTGCGCGAGCGCCACGACCAACCGTAGGGACACTGGGGACACTGGGGGCATGGGGACACTGAGGATACTGGGGACACTGGGGGCATGGGTGGGATACAGGGCAGGGATAGGACAGCAGGGTTGGAGGGAGGGCACAGCCCATGGCAGGGACACATCCTGGGGACAAAAACATGGCCCTGTGGTGAGGTGACATGTCCCAGGGGTGGGGACAGGGTGTGGCTGTGTCCCCTCCCTGTGTGTGCCCTGGCACTCCCTTCCTGTCCCCAGAGGATGACCCGTGCCACACCTCCCTGGCATGTCCCTTTGTCACACTCCAATGACAGAGACCATGCCACGTGCTCTGACGCATCTCTGCCATGTCACCCCAGGATGACCCATGCCATGTGTCCCTGCCATGTCCCCCTATGTCCCCCTGTCCCCACAGGCTGATAGACACCGTGCCCCACATCCCTGCCATGTCCCCTGTCCCTGAAGGATGACAGAGGCCATGCCCCCTGTCCCTGCCATGTCCCCTGTCCCCACAGGATGACTGTGCCCCACGTCCCCTGTCCCTGAAGGATGACAGAGGTTGTGCCTCGTGTCCCTGCCATGTCCCCCACATCCCTTGTCCTTGCAGGATGACACAGACTGTACCCCCTATCCCCTGTCCCTGCAGGATGACAAACTCTACCCCCTGTCCCTGCCATGTCCCCCATGTCCCCTGTCCCCGCAGGATGACAGAGATCGTGACGCGGGTGTCCAAGAAGAAGCTGGGCCGCCACGTCAAGGCCCTGGTGTTCGAGCTGTGCTGCAACGACGACAGCGACGCCGACATCGAGGTGCCCTACGTGCGCTACACCATCCGCTAGGGGGCGCCAGGCCACGCCCCTCCGCCCGGCCACGCCCCCCGCACAGGCCACGCCCCATCACGCCCCGCCCCTCTCCCATAGTCGTTGTTGTGTCGGCCCCGCCCCCTGGGTGGGGGTGGGGTCTGGGGGCGGGGCAAGGGCCCCGCCCAATAAACATAGACCTTGGCAAAAAGGGGGCGTGTCTGAGTCACGTGGTGCTGGCACAGCCGCCATGTGACAGCGGTGACAACTGACCCTATGGTGGCACTGCCGTGGCTGGTATGTGACAGTGGTGACAAATGACTCCACAGTGCCACCAGCATGTCCAGCATGTGACAGTGGTGACGAATGACCCCATGGTGCCACTGGCAAAGCCTGCATGTGACAGCAGTGACCAATGAGCCCACAGTGCCACTGGCATGGCCAGCATGTGACAGTGGTGACAACTGACCCTATGGTGGCACAGCTGTGGCTGGCATGTGACAGCGATGACAAATGAGCCCATGGTGGCACTGGCATGGCCAGAATGTGATAACGGTGACAAACCATCCTGAGGGGATATTGGCCATGGTGGCACGGGCACAGCTGGCACCAGACACCGGTGACAAATGACCCTGTGGTGGCACCAGGGTGGCTTTATTGGGGGTGGGGACATGGGGAGACCCCCCCCCTCAGTCACATGCGGGGCTCGGTGTCACCTGCAGTCCTCAGTGTCACCTGGTGTCACCTCAGTGTCACCCGTAGGCCTTGGGGACTTGGTGTCACCCACAGGCAGGTGCTGCTGTCCTCAGTGTCACCTGTGAAAGGTCAGCACAGCCCTGTGTCACCTGCGTCCCCATGGCTCACAGTGTCACCCATGTCCCCATGTGTCACCTGCAGACGTGTCCTTGTGTCACGCGGTCACTATGGTCACTCTGTCACCCTCGGTGTCCTTGCTGTCCCCAGGGGTTCCTGTGCAGCTCTGGCTGTCCCCGCTGTCCCCATTGTCCCCATCCAGGTGACGTTTCTGCTGCAGGAGCTGCCGGTACCGGGCGGCCGCAGCCTCCATGGTGGCCTGGAGCTCGGCCACCTCCACGGCCAGCGTCACCCCTGGGGACAGGGGGACACGGGGGGGACCGAAGGGGTCACGGGGGCCATGACCTTTAGGCCCTCCCCAGTTTTGGGGACACCCCAGATTTGGGGTTTTCCCCCCATTCTTGGGTCCCTCTGAGTTTGGGGATTTTTGCTGGTTTTTGAGACCCCCCCAGTTCCTCCCAGTCCCCTCTCAGTCCCTCCCAGATTCCCCCCAGTTCCCCCCATTTCCTCCCAGTTCCTCCCAGTTCGCCCCCAGTTCCCCCCAGTCCTCACCCTTCTGGAAGCTTCCCTGGGCCTGCCGCAGACTGGGGGGCACCAGGACCCCAAACCAGCCCAGGGGGTCCGGGGGGGGCCGGCTGGGGGTCCCCCCTTTTTCAGGGGCTCCCCGACGCTGCCGCAGCCCTGGGGGAGAGAGAAAGGTCAGATACCCCCCCCCCAAAATAACTGAGGGACCCCCAAACACCCACAGGACCCCTCAGAACCCCCCCAGCACCCCAAATTCCTCCCCAGTTCCTCCCTTGCCTCCCCAACACCCATAGGTGACATCCCCAGACCCCCCAATCTGTCCCCAGCACCCACTGGGGACACCCACACCCACAGGACCCCCCCAAAGGACCCCAGACCCTCCTCACCATCACTTCCCCCCTGCTGGGGGTCGGGGTCCCCCCCTGTTCCAGGCACCTCCTCAAAGTGGGGGCGTCCCTCGGGGTCCTGCCTGAGGGTGACACAGTGGGGACAGTGTCACCACCGTGCCCTGGTGTCACTTGGCCACCACAGGGATGTCCCAGCACCCCCACAGTGGAGACATCAGTGTCACCTCCCCAAACTGGGGACACAAATCGGTGACACTCCCTGAGTGTCCCCAATGTTCTCATGTCCTCCCTGCCTCCCTGTCCCCTCCCTGAGTGTCCCCAATGTCCTCATGTCCCTCCCTGTGTCCCTGCCACCCCCCCACTGAGTATCCCCAGTGTCCCTGTCCCCCACCTGTGGCACACACGGACCCGGGGCACCATGGTGGCCCCGTATTGCAGGGATGAGACGCGGTGACATCCCAGGGAGTAACGGGCCTGAGCCAGGGACAGCCACCCCTGTGGGGACATTGGGGACAGTGAGGACACAGCACGGGGACAGCCACCCCTGTGGGGACATTGGGGACACAGCATGGGGACAGCCACCCCTACACAGACACAGGGGGACATTGAAGGGGACAGAGGGACAGCCAGCTCTGGGGACAGAGGAACATGGCGTTAGGGACAGTCACCTGTAGGGACACAGGGGACACTGTGGCGTATCCCTTTGTGTCCCCACACTGGGTGACACTTGCCCCCAACATGTCCCATGATGGTTGGTGTGTCACCAACCATGTCCCCAGCTGTGTCCCCATGGGGTTGGCACATCACTGTAGCAGGTGACACCCTCCAGGTGCGTCCCTGTGGTAGGTGGCACCTCCTCACACGTGTCCCCACGAGGGGTGGCGTGTCCCCGTTGTGTCCCTGCTGTGTCCCCACTGTCCCCATTGTGTCCCCTCACCTGCCGCAGGTGCTGCTCCAGCTGCTCCCGCCGCTGCTGCAGCAGCTCCAGCGCCTCCATCACCTCCAGCGCGGCCTCGTCCAGGGACAGCGACAGCGACCCTGAGGAGGGGGGGACACGGCTCAGAACCCCAAACAACACCGGGGGGACCCCACGGGCTCCCCCAAACCCACCAAAACCGCCCCTCCCGCCCAGGGACCGGCCCGGTGTCCCCACAGTGTCACCCGTGTCCCCTCAGTGTCCCCGCGGAACCTCCCAGACACCTCCGGGCCCTCAGAGACCTCATCAAAGCACTCCCGGAAACCCACTCAAAAAACTCTCAGGATCCCTGAGACCTCTAAAATCACCCCAAAACGCTCCCGGTCTCCTGGAGACCCCTAAAATCGCCCCGAGACCCCTCCCCGAGCATCCCCGGGACCCCCAGAGACCCCCGGAGCCCCCGGCCCTCCCTCACCGTCCATCGCCGCCCTCACCGCGGCCTCAGGCCCGGCCCCGTCTCGCCCAATCGCAGCCCGCCCTGGCACCTCTCGACCAATCAGCAAGCGCAGTAGCCCGGGGGGCGGGGCCTGCATGAGGGCTGGTGGAACGGCGAGATGACGCCGACCCGGCCGCCATCTTGAGTGAGGGCGCAGCGTTTCCTCCCCTTTCCCGCAGCACCGCGCGATTCCATTGGTCCGCCGGCGCTCGGCCAATGAGAGGCGGCGGTGCTGGGAGCTGCCGGCGTGTGAGGAGCGGTGCGGAGCGGAGCAATCGCGACCATGGTGAGGGGCCGGGGGTTGGGTCGGTGGTCCCGTGTCCCCTCCGTGTCCCCTCCGTGTCCCCTCCTGTCCCCCATCCCTCCATGGCGCCTCCGATCTCCCCTTCGTGTCCCACATCCCCTCATTTCCATACCCTCCACAGCGGGCCCTCCCCCCTGCCCAGCGTCCCCATATCCCCCCTCACGCGTCCCTCACTCTGTGTCCGCTGTCCCCCGATGTCCCCTGATGTCCCCGCTGTCCCCGCTGTCCCCCATACCTCGATGCCGCCCCCTCAGCTCCCCCCATCCCCTCATTCCTCCATATCCCCCACACGGGGCTCCCCCTCGCATCCCCCCGTGTGTCACCACCGGTGTCACCTGTGTGTGTCCCCGTGTGTGTCCCCGTGTCGCAGCTGCGTCGCCAGGCCCGGGAGCGCCGGGAGTACCTGCAGCGCCGGGCCAAAGAGCAGCAGCAGCAGCGGCAGCGGGAACGCAGGGAGAGCCTGAAGCGGGCGCTGGACGGTACCGGAGCACGGGGAAGGGGGAAAGAGGGGCTGGGAGGGGGAAAAAGGGAAGGGAGAGGGGTGAAAAGGGGCTGGGAGGAATTTGGGGAGGTTTGGGAGGAGTTAAGGGGTGTTAGAAAAGATTCGGGTGTGTGAAAAGAGGGTTGGGGGTGGCAAAGGGGATTTGGAGGAGCTGAGAAGAATTTTGGGGGGTAGAGAGGAGTTTAAGGGGGTTGGAGGATGTTTGGGGGTGTTCAGGAGGGGAAATGGGGGTGCTGCGGGCCCAGGGGTGTATTTGGGGTTGGGCTATTGCATTGGGGAGGGTTGGGGGTCCTGTCTGAGCCCCCCCCTTTCTCTCCTCTCCCCCCAGAGAATCGGCTGCTGCCCACGGAGCTGCGGCGCGAGGCGCTGGCCCTGCAGAAGGAGCTCGAGTTCGACTTCCAGGCACCAGGGGGTGAGAGGGACCCCCAAATTGGGGGGGAAGGAACCCCCAAAATGGGGCTGGAGCGACCACCAAATCAAGGGGGAGAGGGACTCCCAAATCGGGGGTGGAGAGTGGGGAGAGGGACCCCCAAACCTTCGGGGGAGAGAGACCCCGAATCAGGGCGGGAGGGACCCCCAAATTGGGGCGGAGGGTAGTAAAAGGGAACCCCAAATCTGGGGAAAAGGTGGGAAGAGGGACCCCCAAATTGGGGGGGATTGGAACTTCCAAACTCAGGGGTGGGGGACAGGCAAGACCCTTGAATGAGGTGGACCCCAAAATGGGGAGAGGGGAATCCAGGGACAGGAGAGAGGCAGCCTCCAAAAAAGACCTAAAAAAAAGAGATTTGCCTCATTTTTAGGAGTTTCCTCAAATTCTCTGTGGTTTTTAAATTTGCTAGATGACATTAAATTCACCTCAAAATGAGTGCGGGGTTACACCAACACTCACAGTTTGGGCTGCACCCCAAATTTGGGGCTTGTTTTCCCCACAATGAGCTGTGAAATCCCCAAAATGGGAATTAAACCCCCAAAATGAGAATTAAACCCCCAAAATCCCCCCAGAACCATCAGTGGATTGACCTCAATGACCCCGGGGTGGGTGTGGCTGCAGTGGGCGGGGCGGGGGGGGGGGCGTGGCCTGACAAAAGCCCCGCCCCCAGAGACAGGTGACAGCCAGGATGATGAGTACAGGTGGGCGGGGCTGGAGCCCCCCAAGGTGATGGTGACAACATCACGTGACCCCAGCGCCCGCCTGCGGCTCTTTGCCAAGGTGGGCGTGGCTCTGGGTGGGTGTGGCCTGGTATGGGTGTGGTCTGGGGTGGGTGTGGCTCTGGATGGGTGTGGCTGGGTGTGGTCTGATGTGGGTGTGGCTAAAGCTGGGTGTGGCTCCAAGGTGGGCGTGGAAGAGGTGATTTGGGGGACACAAGGGGGGATTTCGGGGACACAGGAAGGTGATTTGGGGGACACAGGGGAGGCAATTTGGGGGATACAAGGAGAGTGATTTGGGGACCACGTGGGTGGTTTTTTTGGGGGTCATGACAGAGGTGATTTGGGGGACATGAGGGAGATGATTTTGGTGACGTGGGGAAGGTGATTTGGGGGACACCAGGGGGTGATTTGGGGGACACAGTGGGGGTGATCTGGGGGACATGGGAGAGGTGATTTTGGGGACACAGGAGAGGTGATTGGGGGACATGGAGGGGGTGATTTAGGGGACACAGGGGAGGTGATTTGGGGGATATGGCAAGGTGATTTAGGGGAGACAAGGGGGAGGTGATTTGGGGGACACGAGGGGGTTTTTGGGGGACATGACAGGTGATTATGGGGACACAGAGGGGGTGATTTGGGGGGACACAAGGAAGGTGATTTGGGGGATTTATTGATGCTGCAGTGGCCCAAGCAGGGGCACGCTGTGTAAGGAGTGACACAAACAGGGCGTGGCAGGGCTGTCCCTGACCCCTCCCCGGTGTCCCCGTGTCCCTGTCCCCAGGAGCTGTGCCTGCTGCTGCCCGGGGCTCGCCGCATGAACCGGGGCCGTGCAGAGCTGGGCGCTCTGGTGGCGGCGTGCCGGGCCGCGGGCGTCACCGACCTGCTGGTGCTGCACGAGACCCGCGGGCGGCCCGGTCAGTGCCAAACAGGGGGCTGGGGGCACCCTTGGGGGTCTCTGATGGGAGGGGAGGGGCTGAGGGGCTGCCCTGGGAAGGCTGAGATAGAGCAGAGATAGGGAGAGTTAATTAATAAATTAGGGATTTATTTAAAGGATGTTCTCAGGGGATGCACCTTGGGCAGCACAAGAGGTCAGCCAGGGCTGCACCCAAGGTGAACCAAAATGGGCACAAAATGAACCCGAGGTGGACCCAAATGGTCACAAAATGAACCAAAAGTGGACCGAAATGGTCACAAAATGAACCCAAGATGGACCCAAATGGTCACAAAATGAACCCGAGATGGACCCAAATGGTCACAAAATGAACTCAAGGTAAACCCAAATGGTCACAAAATGAACCCAAGATAAACCAAAATGATCACCAAATGGCCAGCTGGTCACGGGATCTCTCACTTTTATAAGTTCTGCTCCATTTGCATATTGGAGTTAATTGTTCAATTATAGCTTTAGGTTATGAAGTTCCATCTTTCTTGTTTTTCTGTTTTCAATCCAAATTGTTTATGCTTTTAGGCCTGAGATTTGAATCATTTGTCCTTGCTCCCCAGCTAGAGAAGGAATTGTTTTGTGTCCTAGTCTGCGCAGAGAGCTCACCAACATTTAATGTGAAGTTCAGACTCACACACTAAAGCAGCACAAACTCTGAAAAATATAAAACCTAAAACCTGAGGGACAAAGGGAGTGGGTGGGGCTAATCCCAAGGGGGTGTGGCCTGTTTGTGGGTGTGGCCTGATGAAGCTCCACCCCCCCCCAGACGGGCTGACCGTGTCCCACCTGCCCCACGGCCCCACTGCCCACTTCACCCTGAGCGGGGCCGTGCTGCGCCAGGAGGTCGGGGGGCTCGGGGGGGCCCCGCTGGCCGCCCCCCACCTGCTGCTGCTGCGCCTGGATTCCACGCTGGGAAAAAGGGTACGGCCAGGGGGACACTGGGGACATGGGGGGACAGTGGGGGGACAGGAGGGGACACTGGGGACATAGGGGGGCAGTGGGTATATGGGGGAACACTGGGGACATAGGGGGGGACAATGGGGACATGGGGGGGCATTGGGGACATAGAGGAGGACAATGGGGACATGGGGGTACATTGGGGACATGGGGGGGGACAATGAGGATGTGGGGGGGACAGTGGGGGGACAGGAGGGGACACTGGGGACATAGGGGAGCAGTGGGTATATGGGGGGTCAGTGGGGACATGGGGAGGGGACATGGGGGTACTTTGGGGACATGGGGGGACACTGGGGACATAGGGGGGAACAATAGGGACATGGGGGGACAATGGGGACATGAGGGGACAACGGGGGGAAAGGGGGACACACAGCTGGGGGGATGTGAGGGTACATGGGGGAGGAAATGGGGACACTGGGGGGGAACACGGGAGGTCCCAGGGGTGGCGTGACCCCATCCCTGTCCCCATCCCTGTCCCCTCTAGGTCGGGACCATCCTGAAGCACCTGTTCCCCGTCCCCCGTCCCGACAGCCGCCGCGTGGTGACCTTCGCCAACGAGGATGACGTCATTTTAGTGCGGTGGGTGACACGTGGGGACACAGGGACACAGACAGACCCCACCCCTCCCCCAGACCCCTCTGACCCCCCCCCCCCTCCCCACAGGAACCATGTGTACCGGCGCCGGGGGCGGACGGTGGAGCTGGAGGAGGTGGGACCCCGATTCCAGCTGAGGCGTGAGTGTCTCCTGCTGTCCCCAACAGCCCTAAAAATGTCCCCATGTGTCCCTAAATGTCCCAACAACCCCCTCGTGTCTCCCCCAGCCTACCTGATCCGCCTGGGGACCCTGGAGCAGGGGGACGCGGCCGACGTGGAGTGGCGCTGGCACCCGTACACGGCCACGGCCCCCAAGCGCCGCCTGCTCAGCGCCACCTGAGCCCCCCAGGACCCCCCCAGGTGGGACCCACCTGCACATCTGAGACCACCTCGGCAGCTGAGACCCCTCTGGACTGGCCCAGGCACGGCTGGGTTTCTCACAATCGGTTTTTATTTGTGATAATAAATCGTTTTTGTCTATATTGGGTTCTGTAAGGATCAGCCGGGTTCTGCTGCAGCCCCTCCTCTGTGGGGGGGCCCAGGGATCCGGACCCCCCCTCACACCCGGGACCACTCGGCCGGGGGGTCCCGCGGGCCCTTGGGCTTCCCAATGCGGAAGTTAAACCCTGAGGGGAGGAGCAGGGGGTCAGTGATGGGGGGCTGGACATTGATGTCCCCCCTAAACCCCCCCCAGGAGCCCCCAAACCCTTCCCAGAGACCAAGACCCCCCTATGCTCACCCAGGCAGGGGCCACTGCCGGTGTCCACAGGGGGGGTCACAACCTCGTAGGCGCCATCCGAGGGTCTGGGGGAGCCTGGGGGGGGGACCAGGGTCAGAATTATCGATCCTGGAGCCCCCTGAGCCCCCCAAACCCCCCCGACCCCCCCCACTCACCTGCCGGGCTGGGGGAGGGGCGGCGCACGGGGCTGCCCGGCAGCGAGCACGTGCCCGAGGGGGCGGAGTCTCGTCCGAAGGGGGCGTGGTCTCTTCCCAAAGGGGAGGGTCCTCTCCCCGCGGCCCCGCCCCCTCGGCGGGGCTTGTTGACCACGGCGTAGGTGACATCCATGGCGGGGGGCGCGGGGGGCTCGGCCGGCACCGAAACGCTCCTGGAGAGAGGGCAGGGGAGGGAGGGGACACCTGTCCGGGTCACCTGTCCCCGCTGTTCCTGTCACCTGTCCCCTCTGCGAGCACTCACCTGAGCAGCGCGGGCCGCAGAGCCCGGCGGGCCACGGCGTCCTGGTACAGGGGGGGCTGGGGAGGCAGGGAGGGGTCACCTGCAGCCCCCCAAACGGGGGCGGCCGGAGCTCCCGCGTCCCCCCAAGCTCTCGGGGCTCCCCGAGCTCTTGGGGTCCCCCCTCGACCGTCCGGGTCCCTTCTTTCACTTCCCCTTTCCGCGGGCAGGAAGTGCCGCGGCCGCCCTCGGGCCCCCACCCCGCCCCGGATGCTGGCGGCCCCCCGAGCTCCCCCCAGAACCGGGGTCCCCCCTCACCTGAACCCCGCGGGCCAGGCTGAGGTGGCCGGGGGGCGGTGGAGGTGCCATGGGGGTCTCGGGGGGGGTCTCAGGTGTGTGGGGCACTGAGGGGACCTGGGGGGTTTTCAGTGCCCCCCGAGCCCCGCCCCTGGCTGGAGCCCCGCCCCTGGGCTGGACCCTAAACTGCCCTGGGAATTCCCTGTGGGGGTTTGGGGGGGCTCCTGGGGGACCCTATGGACGCTGCAGGGGCTGTTTTGGGGCTCTGTGGGGCTTCTTGGGGTCCCTACAGGCACTGCAGCGTCTGCAGGGGTTGTTTAGGGGCCGTTTAGGACTCTATTGTCCCTGCAGCGAGTCTGAGGGAGCTCTATAGACCCTCCAGAGCCTCTGTAGAGATTTTGGGTGTCCTTATGGACTCTGCAGTCCCTGCATGTGTTCCCTAAAGCTCTTCGGGGCTGCCTATAGAGTTTTTGGGGTGCCCTAGAGCTCTTTGTGGGTGCCTATAGAGTTTTTGGGATGTTCTAAAGCCGCCTCGGTGTGTCTGTGGCTCCGATGGGGCCTTGCCGAGGGGGTCACAGGGGTGCCCCACACATTGAGGGGTCCCCTATGGCCCTGGCGGGGCGGGGCCAGGCACCTATAGCCGCTATAGGGATCGCTCTGGCCCCGCCCCTCGTCATGAGGCTGAGTTCTGACCCCGCCCCTGTGTGACGTCACGGGGAGTCATGAGGGAAGGGAGTGGAGCAGGAGAACCCGCCAAAAGAGGCGTCACTCTTTAGGCCCCGCCCTGCGATCGCTGATTGGTCGACGCGCGGAGGCCGCGCCCCATTCCCCCGCGCCGCGCGGTGATTGGTGGATGCGGCGGCGCGGTGACGTCACGGGGCGCGCGGCGCGGCAGCCCCGGAAGCGGCGGTGGCGGCGGGAGCGGGAGCGCGGCCGGTGAGCGCGCGCGGGGCGGGGACAGCGCGGGGGCGGGGCCAGCGGGGGTGGGCACGGCTGGGGGCGGGGCCTGAGCGGGGGCGGGGCCTGAGTGGGGAGGGGGCGCCCCGGGGGCGATATCGCCGGAGGGCGGGGCTTTGTGAGGGGGCGGGGTTTCCCGGGGCTCCCGGGGCGGGGCTAAAGTTCTTGGGGGCGTGGGTAACGGTAATGTGGGCGTGGTTTCACTTTGGGGGCGTGGTCAGAGAGGCACGTGTGGGGTGTTCCGGAGTGAGCCTGTGTGGGGGCGTGGCTTGATGTCAGTGGGCGTGGCCTAGGCGAAGACCACCAGGGTTAGGACGTACTGCGTGGGCCTGGAGGTGTGGCCACAAGGTGTCTCTTTGGGGTGGGGTGTGGTCTGTGGAGCCACGCCCCCGGCGACCCCACCCCACCTCCCCCACAGGTGCCCAGGAGCCCTGACTCCACCCTTAGTGTGGACAGGGTGAGGCAGGGCGGGGCTGTTAAGGTGTGCAGGCACCGCCCCGGCGCCCCCTGCTGGTCACAGCTGAGGCAGAGATGGAGCCAGCCACGACAGTGGACACGGCGTCCCCGAGCTGTCACCACAGCGGGGACGATGAGGAGGAAGATGTGACAGCAGCGGCAGCCATGACATCATCCTTGTGTCACCATGAGGAGGAGGAGGACAAGGAGGTGGCAGCAGTGGTGACAGCCGCAGTGTCCCTGAGGTGCCACCCCAGTGAGGAGGAGGAGGAGGAGGTGGCAGTGGCCCTGACATCCCAAGGTGGGGATGAGGATGTGGTGGCAGCAGTGACAGAGGAAGCAGCCACAACGTCCCAGGGCTGTCATCCTGGTGAGGAGGAGGAGGTGACAACAGCAGGGACAGCAGCAGTGACATCCCCAGGCATTCAACCCAGTGAGGAGATGACCATTGCGGCAACGTCCCTAGCACATCCTCCTGTAGGGGATGAAGAGGAGGTGACAGCAGCGGTGACATCCCCAGTGTGTCACCATGAGGAGGAAGAGGAGGAGGTGACACCAGCAGTGACGTCCCCAGTGTGTAACCCTGGTGAGGAAGAGGAGGAGGTGACGGCGGCGGTGACGGCAGCAGCGGCCACATCGGCCCCGGGCGGGCGGCGTGGTGCGGACGAGGACGTGGCAGCCGCGGGCTGGCGGGCGCGCCGCAAACACGTGTTCGTGCTCAGCGAGGCGGGGAAGCCGATCTACTCCCGGCACGGCAACGAGGAGGCGCTGGCTGCCACCATGGGTGTCATGATGGCCCTCGTGTCCTTCATCCAGAGCGGCGGCAACGCCATCCGGGCCATCTGCTCCGGTACGGGGACAGCGGGGGGTGGACATGGAATCCCCAAATTCACACAAACCTGTGGGTAACCTCAAACCTGCCCAGCCCTGCTCACAGGTAGTCTGGAAACAGCCCCCACAGGTACAGCAATCCCTGCTCCAAACAGCCCCCTCCAAACACAACCTCTCAAAACCACCAAAAACCACCACCCCCAAAATCCACCCCCCAAAATCACCTCTCCAGGTACACCTGAATCTGCCAAATCAGCCTGCCCAGGTACAACCAGCCCCCCAAACCCCTTCCTGGCTCCTGCCACCCCCCCCAAAATACCTATGTTGCTACAGCCACTCTCCAAAAACAGCACACCCCAAAATGACACCTGTCCAGGTACATCTGGCTACCCCCAAACCCTCCATGTCCCCTGTACCCCGTGTGACCGCCGTGTCCCCTCTCTCTCCCCCGCAGAGGACCGCACGCTGGTGTTCGAGCAGCGGGGCCCGCTGCTGCTGGTGTCGGTGTCCCGCACACGGCAGTCGGCAGCGCAGCTGCGGCGGGAGCTGGCCTTCGTTCACGAGCAGATCCTGTCGCTGCTGACCCGCGGGGGCATCGCCCGCGTCTTCGCCCGACGCCGCGGCTTCGACCTGCGCCGGCTGCTGGCGGGCGCCGAGGCCGTGCTGGACCGGCTGCTCTGCGGGGCCGCGGCCGACGGGCGGCTGCTGCTGGGGGCCGCTCGCTGCCTGCCCCTGCCCGGGGGGCTGCGCCGCGCCGTGTCCGGGGCGCTGCGCCGCGCCGCCGCCGCCGCCCGCCCCGCGCCCGCCCTGGCCGTGCTGGCGGCCCGGGGCCGCCTGGTGACGGCGGCGCGGCAGCGGGCGCTGGCCGAGGGCGGGCGGCTCTGCGCCAGCGACCTGCACCTGCTGCTCAACCTGCTGGGCGGCGGCGCGGGCGCGGGGGCGGGCGAGGTGTGGACCCCCGTGTGCTTGCCACGTTTCAACCCCGATGGGTATTTCTATGCGTACGCGGCGCGGCTGGGCGAGGAGGAAGAGGAGGGTGTGACGCTGATCCTGCTGTCCACGGAGCGAGAGGGGTTCTACGCGGCGGCTGCGTGCCGGAGGCAGCTGGAGGACACGCTGCGGGCGCAGGGCTGGCTGGCCGAGCTGGCGGCGGCCGTGCGAGGGGGAGCGGGGTACGGCCCGTCCCGGCCCGGCGCCCCCGAGCTCCGGCACTTCCTCTACAAACCCTTGGAGGGGCCGGAGGAGATGCAGCAGCTGCCGCAGTTCACCAGGTGCGAGGATGGGGGGGACACCCAAAAATTGGGGGGGTGGGAGTGTCCCTGACCGTCACCTGACACTCGTGTCTCTCCTCCGTCGCTGGCTGCAGCCCCGAGCTGGAGGAGCCCAGCAAGGAGGAGGGAATGGAGGGGACATCCCAGAATTGGGGGGTGGGAGTGTTCCTGACCTTCACCTCATGCTCATGTGCCTCCTCCCTCACTGGCCGCAGCCCCGAGCTGGAGGAGCCCTACACCAGCGAGGAGGAGCAGCACCGGCTCTTCGACCTGTACCACTACCTGCACAGCCGGGTGCACAGCCCGCACCGGCCCCTGCGCCTGCTCTACCACGTGGCTGAGAAGGAAACGCTGCTGGCCTGGGTGAGCCGCGGGGAAGGAGCCCTCAGCAGGGCCCAGAGGCAGCAGCACCTGTTTGTGCTGTCCTGAGAAGGTTCCAGAGTTAGAGGGGAGGCTCAGTGTCAGTGCTGTCAGTAGAACACACAGTTAATGGGATGTGGTGTCATCAGTAGGTCCCACAATTAATGGGGTGTGGTACCATCAGTAGGTCCCACCGTTTACAGGATTTTCACTGGCAATGGCATCAGTAGATCCCACAGTTAATGGGATGCTCACTGGCAGTGCCATCAGTAGATCCCACAGTTAAGGGGATTTTCACTGGCAGTGCCATCAGTAGATCCCAAAATTAACAGGATTTTCACCATCAATACTATCAGGAGATCCCACAGTTAACAGGCCTGGGTTCCCACAGGTGACCAGCAAGTTCGAGCTGTACAGCTGCTTCAGCCCGCTGGTGACGAAGGCGGGCGCCATTGCCGTGCTGACCAAGCTGCTGCGCTGGCTCAAGAAGGAGGAGGACTGGCTGTTCATCCGCTACCCGGCACCGTTCTGCGCCGCGCCCGCGCGCCCCGAGGGGCCTGAGCCCGAGGGCTGACAATAAACACTGAGACCCCGGGGAGAGTCCTGACTCCGGGGGGACTGGGGGGCCAGGGGACACGGCCTGAGGGGTGAGGGGATGGCTTGGACATGGCCTGAGGGGTGAGGTGACAGAGGGGCATACTGAGGGGAAGGGGGCACACAGCCTGAGGGGTGAGGGGAGGAGGGGACACGGCCTGAGGGGTGAGGGGATGACAGGGACATCCTGAGGGGTGAGGGGATGAGGGAACACAGCCTGAGGGGTGAGGGGACAGGGGATATCCTGAGGGGTGAGAGGGGGGGGGGCATCCTGAGGGGTGAAGGGACAGGGAGACACGGCCTGAGAGGTGAGGGGATGGCAGGGACATCCTGAGGGGTGAGGGGACAAGGCCTGAGGGGTGAGGGGACAGGGGGACATCCTGAGGGGTCAGGGGACACAGCCTGAGGGGTGAGGGTATGGTCTGAGGGGTGAGGGGATGGCGTGGATGCGGCCTAAGGGGTGAGGGGACAGGGGGGCATCCTGAGGGGAAGGGGGGACACAGCCTGAGGGGTGAGGGGATGAGAAGACATGGCCTAAGGGGTGAGGGGATGGCAGGGACATCCTGAGAGGTGAGGGGATGGGGAAACACGGCCTGAGTGGTGAAGGGACATCCTGAGCTGCGAGGAGACAGGGGGACACGGCCTGAGGGGTGAGAGGACAGGGGACAGCCTGAGGGGTGAGGGGATGAAGGGACAGGGCCTGAGGGGTGAGGGGACGAAGGAAGGGGGAAGAGAAGAGAAGAACAGCAACAGAGAAGGGGGAAAAGGGAACCGAAAATTAGAGGAATGAGGGAGAGAAACTGGGGAGAAAACCTGAAAGAAAAGGTGGGTAAGAGCAGATAGAAAAGAGGGAAACTGAGGCAGGAAAGAGAGGTGTGAGGGGAAGAAATCAGTGGGAAAACATGTGAGGAAATGTGGGAAAATAGAAGGGAAATGGTATGAAAATGAGGGGGGAAAGGCAGGAAAACATGAGGAGGAAGGGTGGGAAAAATTAGGGAAAACAGCATAAGAATGTGAGTGGGAAAGGGCAGGGAAATGTGAGGGGGAAAAGAGAGGGAAAACATGAGAGGAAAAAGGGTGGGAAAACATGAGGGGAAGAAGGGGGGAAAACGTGAGGGGGAAAAGGGCGGGAAAACATGAGGGGAAGAAGAGGGGAAACATGAGGGGAAAAAGGGTGAGAAAACGTGAGGGGAAAAAGGCAGGAAAATGTGAGGGGGAAAAGGGCCGGAAAACGTGAGGGGGAAAAGGGTGGGAAAATGTCAGGGGAAAAAGGGCAGGAAAACATGAGGGAAAAGAGCGAGAAAACATGAGGGGGAAAAGGGCGGGAAAACGTGAGGGGGAAAAGGCAGGAAAATGTGAGGGGAAAAGGGCGGGAAAACGTGAGGGGAAAAAGGGGGGAAAACCTGAGGGGAAAAGAGCAGAAAAACCTGCAAATGGGAGGGAGAGGAGCTGAGAAAACTGCAGAAAGAAGGTGAGGGGAAATGGAGGATGAAAAGGAACAAAGTGTAAGGACACAAGACAGGAAAGTATGAAAAGGGGACTGGAAAGGGGGTGTTGGTGACAGAAAAAGGGGCAAGAGGGGAAAGGACTGGAGAGAGAAATGAGGGACAGAAATGGAAGGGACAGAGGCGGCAGGAACTGGAGGAAGGAGATGACAGGAATGGGAGAGACCCTGGAGTAAAGAGGGTTAGTAAAGAGTAAAGAGGAGGGAGGAAATGGTGAAACGTGACAGAAAAGGTGGGGCTGAGGGTGGAATATGGGGAATGAAGAGGACGACAAGGTGACAGGAGGGCACAGGCCAGTGCCCACCATCATTGTCCCCCATGGGCCCCTGTGTCCCCACCGTGTCTCTCCAGGCTGCAGTGATGGACCCAGACCCATGCAGTAAGGGGCTCTACGGCCAAGACCCCCCAAGACCACCGTGTGTCCCAGTGTCCCCCCGCCCCAGGGACAAGGCAGTCTCAGGTGTCCCCAAGAGAGGCAGTGTCCCTGTGTTCTGCCCAGTTCCCCCCTCAGGTCCCCCTGGGGGGCCCCCACAGCTGGAGGTGCTGCTGAGGCAGGTGCACAGCCTGAAGGGTGAGTGTGAGGACCCCTGTTCCCCCATGTTCTCATGTCCGACATGTCCTCCTGTGCTCCCTCATGTGCCTGCCATGCCCCCCTGTGTCCCTCTGTTCGTCCCACTGTGTCCCACAGTCCGTGAGGCCACAACAGAGGAGCTGGTGAGGGCACAAGACCGCAGTGAGGAGTTGCGCCAGGAGCTGGAGCAGCGTGAGTGACCTGGGGGGACACTGAGAGGGCTGGGGGATCCCTGAGGGGTCTGGAGGGGGTCCTCAAGGGCTTTGGGGGGGGCGGGGGGACACAAAGGGGGCTGGGGACATGCAGAGAGGGGTCTGTGGGGTCATTGGGTGGTGTGTAGGGACCCTGAGAGGTTTGTGGGGACAGAGGGCTCTGAGCTCATTTCCTCCTCCCCACAGTGGAGCAGCAAAAGGAGGCACTGGAGAGGACCTGGCAGCAGGTGCAGGGTGAGCCTGGGGGGTCCTGGGGCCTTTGGGGCCACCCAAAAACCTCCGCTGATGCCCCCTGAACCTCTGACCCCCTTGACCCCCATGATTCCCTGACCCTTGTGGCCCCTCCTGACTCCCCCACAGGCGGTGGGACCCCCTCACAGAGGGACCCCCCTGCCACCCCCCCAGAGTCACTGCAGAGAGCGCAGCTGCAAGGGAAGGAGGTGGATGCCAAAGGTCAGAGGTGAGTAGGGACACCTGTGACCCTCCCCAACCTCACCTGTGCCCACATGACCTCTGACCCCCTCCAAACACACCTGGTGCCCCCTGACCCCCCACAGGCACTGTGGGCTCTGCCTGGAGCAGCAGCAGGACCTGGAAGGGACAAAGCAGCAGTGGGAGCAGCTGAAAAACCTGTGCCGGGAACAGAGGTGGGGCTGGGGGACACAGGTGGGGCTGGGGGTGGCACCAGGTCACCCACACAGGTCATGTGACCACTGTGACACCCCCCCCCCCCCTCCCCGTGTTCCCTCACTCTCAGGTGGCACTACTGCCAGCAGCTCGAGGCCATCACGGAGGAGCTCAAGCACCTGTGTATCACACATGTGAGTGAGCCCCAGGCTGGGGTCCCTGACACACCTGGGGGTCCCACACACACCTGGGTGCCCTGGCACACCCCAGGATCACACCCTTCCCCCTGTCCCCCCACAGGCTCCAGCCCACCTGAAGGCTGAACTGGTGAAGCTGGAGAAGATGAAGGAGAAGTGGCTGAGCTTGGGTGAGCCCCTGACACCTGAGTGGTCCCCCAGGACCCTCCTCAAGCACCTGAGTGTCCCTCCTGACACCTGAATGGCCCCTGTGACACCTCTGGGCACCTGAGGGACAGCCTTGGACACCTCAGTGCCAACACCTGAGTGACCTCCTGAGCTCCTGACTGACCCTTGGGCCACCTGACCCCCTCCACAAGCCCCTGAGTGACCCCCCCGGACCCCTGAGCCCCCCCAAACCCAGGTGTGTCCCCTTGAGCTGACCAGAGTCCCCCCCTTGCCCAGAGCGCCATTTGATGGACACCGAGGAGCAGCTGGGCCCAGAGGGAGCTGTGCTCTGGTGAGTGCCCAGTTCTGGCCCCGCCCCCTCAAAGGTGACCCCACCCACTCAGGCCTGTCCCCACCCCCTAACTCCCATTCTTGCAGGCGATTGGTGCAGCAGGAGCAGGAGTGGGCGGAGCGACAGCTGGAGGTGGAGCTGGGCCGGCAGCAGCTGAGCCTGCAACGCCGTGACAGGTGTGTGACACCTTAGGGACAGGGGTGTGACACCTGGGACAGGTGTGGCCCTGTCACCTGGGCCTTTAGAGGCCCTGCCCACCTCTGGCCCCACCCCTTCTCTGGCCCCGCCCCCAGGTTGGCAGAGGAGTTGCAGCAGCTGCAGCACTCCCAGGAGGCTCGCCCAGAGTGACAGGCAACGAGATGGACACACCCCATGGGACACCTGTGGCGCCTGTGTGACACCTCCGTGTGTCACCTGCGGGCCACCTGTGTCCTGCCATGTTCTCATGTACCCCATTCTCCGTTGTTCTCCCCGCCATGTCCTCCCAGGTCCCCATGTGCCCACCATGTCCCCATGTGCACCCCTTGTCCCCTCACATCCTAATGTCCCCCATGTCCCCTCACATCCCCAATATCCCCCATTTCCCCATGTGCCCCCCCAATGTCCCCCATGACCCCCAAGTCCCCTCATGTTCCCCCATGTCCCCTCACATTCCGATGTCCCCTATGTCCCTAATAAACGTTCTGCCACCACTGCTGTCTCTCAGGCGCCTCTTTATGACCGCGGGTGACACTTCCCCCAAACAGGGCGGTCCCCTACGGCCGCCGCCATTGTTCTTCTGGCCGCCGCCATGTTGTGGGCGGGCACGCCCTTATCCGGAAGCGGAAGTGGGACACGCCCCCCGCTTCCGGCCGCTGTTGGGCCTAGCCCGGCGCGTCCCTCGGAGGCGGCGGCAGCGATGGTAGGGGAGGAACCGGGGGGTGTGTGGGGGCCTCAGGGGGTCTGCGGTGTCTGGGGGACCCCCCAGGCCCTGACACCCCCCGCCGTTGCCCCCTCAGGATAGCGAATTCTCGGACGCGGAGGCGGCCCCGGGAGGGGAGGAGAACGCGCCGGTTTATTGCGTGTGCCGCAAGCCGGACATCAACTGCTTCATGATGTGAGGGGGGGTCTGGGGGATCCCCAAGTGCTTCATGATGTGATGGGCGGTCTGGGGACTCCGTAACTACTTCAGGACATGAGGAGAACGGGGAGGAGTGGGGTCTGCAGGTGTTTCAGGATGTCAGGGGAGGGTCTCGGGGGTCCCCAGCTCCTTCAGGATGTGAGGGGGGGGTCTTGGGGATCCCCAAGTGCTTCATGATGTGAGAGGGATCTGGGGGGTTCCCAAGTGATTCAGGATGTGAGAGGGGTCTGGGGGGTTCCCAAGTGATTCAGGATACGAGGGAGGGTCTGTGGGGGTCCGCGAGTGCTTCAGGATGTGAGGGGGGATCTGAGGGTCCCCAACTTCTTCATGATCTGAGGGGGGTCTGGGGGTCTCCAAGTGCTTCAGGATGTGAGGGGGGGTCCCCAAGTGCCTCAGGATGTGAGGGAGGGTCTGGGGGGGGTCACAGCAGATCTGAGGGGGCAGCAGGGGAGGACACAGGGCTGGTGGTCCCGGGTGCCTCTCAGGGTGGGAGTTGGGGGGTCCTGGGTTGTGTTGGCGCCTGGGGGTGTTGGAGGGGGTCCCTTGAAGCTGGGGGGCTTTGGGGGTGCCCAGCTGAGGGTCTCGGTGTCACTCCCGTCCCGCAGCGGCTGCGACAACTGCAACGAGTGGTTCCATGGGGACTGCATCAACATCACCGAGCGCATGGCCAAGGCCATCCGAGAGTGGTACTGCCGGCAGTGCCGCGGTGAGAGGGGCTGGGGTGGCTCGGGAGGGGCTCGGAGAGGTTCTTGGGGGGTTTTGAGGGGCTCTGGGAGGGCTTTGGGGAGCCATTCGGGAATGGCCGCGCCACGGTGAGAGGGGCTGGGGGCGCTGGGAGGGTTTAGAGAGGCTCTTGGGGGGATTTGGGGGGCTCTGGGGGCCCATTCAGGAATGGCAGCGCTACAGTGAGAGGGGCTGGGGGCTCTGGGAGACCTTGGGGGGCTCTGGGAGGGCTTTGTGGGGGCTCTGCAGGGGCTTGAGGGGGCCAGCCAGGAGTGGCAGTGCCAAGGTACGAGGGGCTGAGGGCTCTGGGAGGGTTGGGGGAAGCTCTGGGGGGGCCATTCAGGATTGGCAGTGCTGCAGTAGGAGAGGCTGGGGGCTCTTGGGGGGCTCTGGGAGGGCTTTGGGGGTCCAGCCAGGAGTGGCAATGCAGCAGTGAGAGGGGCTGAGGGCTTGGGGGGCTCCAGGGGAATTTGGGGGGCTCTGGGGGGCCATCTGGGAATATTGGGCTGCTGAGAGAGGGGCTTGGGGGTTGATTTGGGGGGGTTCCAGGGACACCTGGGGGGTCTGGGTGGTTTTTGAGGGGGATGTCTGGGTAGTTTTTGGGGTGCCTGACCCCATTTTTGGGGTGCCTGACGTCAGATCAAGCGCTCAGCCTGCATGTGCAGTGAGTGCGAGGTTGGAGTGTCCCTGATGGGATTTGGGGTGTCCCTGGTGGGATTTGGGGTGCCTGACCCCGTTTTTGGGGTGCCTGACCCCGATTTTGGGGTGACCCCGTTGGAGGACGCCCTGACCCCTCTGTGACCCTCCCCCTCAGAGAAGGACCCATCCCTGGAGATCCGGGTACCGGCACAAGAAGTGGCGGGAGAAGGAGCACGAGGGGGCCAAGGGGCAGGAGCTGGAGCAGGGCCGGGCTGCCAAGGTGGGCTCTGGGGGGGTCAGGGGGTGCAGACCCCACAAAGGGGGACACCCCAGTTCTGGGGGGAGGCTGGGAGGTGCCTGAGTCCCTTGGGATGAGGATTTGGGGGGCACTAGAGCGCTGGGAGGTGCTGTGGGGGAGATTTGGGGGACGCCTGACCCTCTCTGAGTGCCTGGGATCCCTCCCTGTTTGGGTTTTGGGGTGCCCTGGGTGGATTTTTGGGGTGCTTGACCCTGTTTTTGGGGTGTCTGACCCCAGATCAAGCACTCAGCCTGCGTTTGGGGAATGCAAGGTGGGGGTGTCCCTGGTGGGATTTGGGGTGTCCCTGGTGGGTTTTGATGTCCCTGATCCCATTTTCGGGGTTCCTGGCCCATTTTTGGTGTGCCTGACCCAATTTCTGGGTTGCCTGGTCCCATTTTTGGGGTGCCTGACCCCGTTTTTGGGCTGTCTGACCCCAGATCAAGCGCTCAGCCCACATGTGTGGTGAGTGTGAGGCAGGGGTGTCCCTGGTGGGATTTGGGGTGTCCCTGGTGGGATTTGGGGTGCCTGATCCCATTTTTGCTTTGCCTGATCCCATTTTTGGGGTGTCTGACCCCGTTTTTGGGGTGCCTGACCCCAGATCAAGTGCTTAGCCCACATGTACGGCAAGTGCAATGTGGGGGTGTCCCTGGTGGGATTTGGGGTGTTCCTGGTGGGTTTTGGTGTGCCTGACCCCATTTTTGGGGTGCCTGAACCCCATTTTTGGGGTGCCTGAACCCCATTTTTCGGGTGCTTGACCCCGTTTTCGGGGTGTCCAACCCCAGATCAAGCGCTCGGCCCGCATGTGTGGTGAGTGCGAGGCGTGCCGGCGCCCCGAGGACTGCGGGCAGTGCGACTTCTGCCGGGACATGAAGAAATTCGGGGGCCCCAACAAGATCCGCCAGAAGTGCCGGCTGCGGCAGTGCCAGCTGCGGGGCGCGGGTGAGCGGGCACCTGGCGTGTCCCCAACATGTCCCCAGTGTGTCCCCAGCCTGTCCTTGGTGTGTGTTGGGAGCGTTCTTCAAGTGTGTTCAGCGTGGCCCCAGTGCCTGCCAGGGTTGGGGGCATTAGGGTGGCCTTGGTGTGTCCCCAGTGTGTCCCCAATGTGTCCCCAACGTGTCCTTGGTGTGTGTTGGGAGTGGGGTGTGTCCCCCATGTGGCGTGGCCTCAGTGCTTGCCAGGGCTGGGGGCGTTGGAGTGGCCTTGGTGTGTCCCCAGTGTGTCCCCAATGTGTCCCTAGTGTGGCTCTTTGTGGCTGTGTCCCTGTCGTGTGGCCTCTCTCAGCACCTCGTGCCCCTTCGTCACCCTGTCCCGTGTCCCTTGTTAGCGTTTTGTCTCGTCCCTGTGTCCCTCTGTCACCCTGTCCCATGTCCCTTGGTCACCATGTCTCGTGTTGTGACACATCCTTTGTCACTGTCTCGCCGTGTCCTTGTGTCTCTTTGTCACCTTGTGTCACACTCGTGCCATGTCCCCATGTCCCCCGTTCCTCCTCCTCACGTGTTCTGTGTCTCCAAGGAGCTGCTGCATGTCCCTGTGTCACCCTGACATGTCCCCAATGTCACTTATGTTCCCAAGTGTCCCATGTCCCTGTGTCACCCTGTCTCACTATGTTCTCATATTCCGTGTCTGTTTGTCACTCTGTCAGCGTGTCCCTGGTGTGTCCCCAACATGTCCAAGTGTCCCATGCCCCTGTATGTCCTATGTCCTGTGTCCCTGTGTCACCCTGTACTTTGTCCCTGACGTGTTTCCAAGTTGCCTTGTGTCCCTAACTGTCCCATGTCCCTGTCCTATGTCCCTGTGTCCTTGTGTCACCCTGTCTTGTGTCCCTGTGTCCCCATGTCCCTGTGTCACACTGTCTCGCTGTGTCCTCATATCCCATGTCTGTGTGTCACTCTGTCAGCGTGTCCCTGATGTGTCCCCAACATGTCTTGTGTCCCGAAGTGTCCCGTGTCCCTATTTCCCTGTGTCACCCTGTCCTGTGTCCCTGACATGTCTCCAAGATGTCTTGTGTCCCTACCTGTCCCGTGTCCCTGTGTCACACTGTCTTGTGTCACACTGTGTCCTGTGTCACCCTGTCCCATGTCCCCATGTCACCGCCCTGTCGCTGACATGTCCCCTCCGTGTCTCCATAGGAGTCCTACAAGTACTTCCCCACCTCGGTGAGTTTCTGGGGGCTCTGGGGCGAGGGGAGGGGAAAGGGGGACCCCAGACCCACCCTGTCCCATGTGGGGGAGGGGCCAGGCCTGGCTGAGGGGGGAGGGGCACCCCAAAATTTTCGTTACCCTTGGGGTGAGAGGGGGCTCACAGGTACAGGGGATGGAGGTGCCCAGGAAGGTGCTGACCCTCCCCCAGTTAGTGCAGGGGGGTCCTGGGGGTGCCATGAGGGGGTCCTGGGGGGTCCCAGGGGTGCCATGGAGGTCCTGGGGGTCCCTGGTGTGTGCTGACCCACCCCCAGCTGATGGGGGTGTCCTGGGGGTGCCATGGGGGGGTCCCAGGGGTCCCTGGCCATGCTGACCCCCCTGCAGCTGCCACAGGAGCAAAAGAGGGAGCCCTTGGGGGGGTCCCAAGGGTGCCATGGAGGGTCCTGTGGGTCCCTGGCAGTGCTGACCCCCCCTCAGTTGGTCCAGGAGCACAAGGGCGGGTCCCTGGGGTACAATGGGGGGGTCCCAGGGGTGCCATGGGGGGGTCCCGGGGGTCCCTGGCAGTGCTGACCCCCCCCCCCCAGCTGGCCCGGGGGCGTGAGGGGGACCTGGAGCTGCTGAAGGCGCAGCTGGGGGGGCCGGGGCCCCCCGAGAGCCTCTCGGATGAGGAGCTGCCCCTCGACCCCCGGCTCTACCAGGAGCTCTGCGCCGGCGCCTTCGACGAGCACGGCCTGGTGAGCCCCCAAAAACTGCCCCATGGGACCCCAAGATTGCCCCCCTGGGACCCCAAAAACTGCCTCCCCCTGGGACCCCAAAACTGCCCCCTGGGACCCCAAAACTGCCCCCCCAGGACCCCAAAAACTGCCTCCCCCTGGGACCCCAAAACTGCCCCCTGGGACCCCAAAACTGCCCCCCCAGGACCCCAAAAACTGCCCCCTCAGGACCCCAAAAACTGCCACCCCGGGACCCCAAAATTGCTCCAGGACTCCAAAAGCTGCCCCCCCAGGACCCCAAAAACTGCCCCCCCAGGGCTCCAAAAACTGCCCCCTCCGGGACCCCAAAACTGCTCCAGGGTTCCAAAACTGCCCCTCTGAGACCCCAGAATTGCCCTGGCACCTCAGAACTGCCCCCTCCCGGGACCCCAAAACTGCCCCCCTGGCACCCCAAAACTGCCCTCCCAGGACCCCAGAGCTGCTTCCCCTGAGACTCCAAAACTGCTCCAGGGTCCCAAAACTTCCCCCTCGGGACCCCAAAATTGCTCCAGGACCCCAAAGCTAATCCCCCAGGACCCCAAAACTGCCCCTCAGGGACCCCAGAATTGCCCTGGCACCTCAGAACTGCCCCGGGACCCCAAAAACTGCCCTCCCAGGACCCCAAATACTGCCCTGGGGACCCTCACTGTTCCCCCCGGGCATCCCAAATTCTACCAGGCACCCCAAATACTACAGGAGCAGATTTGAAGGAGAATTTTGCACATCAGAGCTTGATTTAGTTTGTTTAGGCCTGGTTTAAGCTGTTTAGGCCTGGTTTAGGCTGTTCAGAGGTGGTTTTGTGTGTCAAGGTGAGCTTCAGGTGTGTCGGGATGTGTCCTCGGTCCCTGTCAGGGCGTGTCCCCAGATGTCCCCAAGCATGTCCTGGCACATCAGGACGTGTCCCCATGGCATTCTGAGGCGTGTCAGGCGTGTCCCTGCATGTCCCCAGCTTGTCCTGGCACGTCCCCACATGCCCAAGGCACCTCAGGCCGCGTTGTCCCCTCGTGTCCCTTCACGGGCCACGCTCTGAGGCACATCGGGGGTGTCACCCCACGTGTCCCCACGTGTCCCCATGTGTCCCTGGTCCTGCCAGCCCTGGCTCAGTGACGCCGAGGACGCGCCGTTCCTGGACCCCGTCCTGCGCAAACGCGCCGTGAAGGTCAAACACGTCAAACGCCGCGAGAAGAAGTCGGACAAGAAGGTGACGGGCACTGGGAGCTACTGGGGGTTACTGGGAGGTTCCATGGGTTGCTGGGAGGGCTCTGGGTGGTTGCTGGGATACGAGCGGTGGTTTCTGGGTGGTTACTGGTGCTCACTGGTGTGGAAGGAGGAGCGGCGGAATGAGCACTCGGAGCTGCTGGAAGGTACTGGGAAGGTTCTGGGTGGTTACTGGTGCTAACTGGTGTTAACTGGTGCGGAAGGAGGAGCGCTACAAGCGGCACTGGAAGGGCTCTGGTGGTTACTGGGCTATGAGTTGTAATTACTGGGTGGTTACTGGGTGGTGATTGAGAGGTTACTGGTGCTAACTGGGAGTTACTGGTGCGGAAGGAGGAGCGCTGCAAGTGGCACCAGCAGCGGGCATGGCACTGGCAGTGCTGGGCTATGAGTGGTGGTTACTGGGAGGTTACTGGTCTATGAATGGTGGTGACTGGGTAACTTCTGGGTGATTACTGGGTGGTGACTGGGAGGTTACTGGTGCTAACTGGTTCTAACTGGTGCAGAAGGAGCGCTACAAGCGGCACCGGCAGTGGGTGCGGCGCTGACAGCACTGGGGTATGAGTGGTGGTTACTGGAAGGTTACTGGTCTATGAATGGTGGTGACTGGGTAACTTCTGGGTGATTACTGGGTGGTGACTGGGAGGTTACTGGTGCTAACTGGAGGTTACTGGTGCAGAAGGAGCAGCGCTACAAGCGGCACTGGCAGCACTGGGCTATGAGTGGTGATTACTGGGTGGTGACTGGGTGATTACTGGGAGGTTACTGGGTGGTGACAAGGATGTTACTGGTTCTAACTGGTTCTAACTGGTGCAGAAGGAGGAGCGCTACAAGCGGCACCGGCAGCGGGCGCGGCACCGCGAGCGCCGCGGGCACCCCGAGCGCGCCGACGCCCGCGACCCCGCGGGGCTGGGCCAGTGCCTGGGCCCCGGCTGCACCCGCCCCGCCCGCCCGCCCTCCAAGTACTGCAGCGAGGCCTGCGGCATCAAACTGGCTGCCAAGTGAGTACGCACCAGTACGGACCAGTATAAACCAGTACAGAAAAGTATCGACTGGTATAGACCAGTATAAACCACTGCGGGACAGGACAGACCGGTGTAAACTGGTACGGTACAGTACAGACCCTCATAAACCAGTAATGGTCTGTACAGACTGGTGCAAACCAGTGTAGACCAGTATAAACCAGTTAATTGTATGAAGAGATCCTGCCACAGTGGATCCCAGGGATCACAGGGTTGCCAATAACCCTTTCCTCACCCCGATCCCAGTCAGATCTACAATCTCCTGCCTCAGTGGATCCCAGGGTTCCCAGAACCTTGGTTAACCCTTTCCTCACCCCGATCCCAGCCGATCTACGAGATCCTGCCTCAGCGGATCCAGCAGTGGATCCAGCCATGGATCCCAGGGATCCTGCAGCCCCTGTTAACCCTTTCCTCACCCCAATCCCAGCCGGATCTTCAAGATCCTGCCTCAGCAGATCCAGCAGTGGATCCCAACCCCCATTAACCCTTTCCTCCCCCTGATCCCAGCCGGATCTACGAGATCCTGCCGCAGCGGATCCAGCAGTGGCAGCAGAGCCCGTGCGTGGCGGAGGAGCACGGCAAGCGGCTGCTGGAGCGCATCCGGCGCGAGCAGCACCAGGCGCGGCTGCGGCTGCAGGAGATGGAGCGGCGCTTCCACGAGCTCGAGGGGCTCATCGCCCGCGCCAAGGGGCACCCGCCCCGCGAGGACGAGGAGGTGGGCACCCCCCGGGGCTCACAGAGGGCTGGGGACCCCCAAAACGCTTTAATTCTACCCGGTTTGGGTCATTCTTGAGATTGCCCTTGGTCCTTCATGGACTCCTGGGTGCCCCCAAACCCTTTAATTCTTCCCATTCTGGGTCTCTCTTGAGATCTCCCTTGGTCATTCATGGATTCCTGGGTGCCCCCAAATCTTTAATTCTCCCTGTTCTGGGTCCTTCTTGTGATCCCCTTTGGTCATTCATGGATGCCTGGGTGCCCCAAAATCTTTTAATTCTCCCCATTTTGGGTTCTTCTTGAGACCCCTCTGCTCCTCTGATACTCACACACAGCTCCTGGAGGGCTGGGGATCCCAAAACCCCTTTAATTCTCTTGGTTCTGGGTCCCTCTTGAGATCCCTCCTGATCCTTCATGGACTCCTGGGTGCCCCCAAACCCATCGAGTCCCCTCTCACTGCCCTTCCCTGAGTCCCCCTCCAGAATCCCTGGGTCCCTCTTGGGATGCCCCCAAACCCTTTAATTCCCCCCACTCTGGGTCGCCCCTGAGCATCCCCCAAATCTCTGAGTCCCTCCTGAGCCCCGTCCTGAGTCCCCCATGGACACCAGGGTCCCCCCACACTCATCCCTGGAGCATGTGGTTCCCCCTGAGCCCCCTAACCTGGTGTCCCCCCATACCCTGGGTGCCCCTGTGGACCCCCTGACCCCGCTGTCCCCCCAGAGCACGGAGGGGGACAGCGAGGACACGGACCTGCAGATCTTCTGCGTGTCCTGTGGCCACCCCATCAACCCCAAGGTGGCCCTGAGGCACATGGAGCGCTGCTACGCCAAGGTGAGCGCGGGGTCTGGGGGCACCTCTGGGTTCCTGGGGGTTCCTGGGGTCTCTGGGATCATCCGTGGGGTCTGTGGGGTTTTCCATGGCACTCTGGGCTGCTGTGGGATCATCTGTGGGATCATCCATGGGATCTGTGTGCCCCTACTGGTTCTTGGGATCTGTGGGATCATCCATAGTGTCTGTGGAATCATCTGTGGGATCATCCATGGGGTCTGTGGGATCATCCATAGGGTGTGTGGGATCATCCATGGGATCATCTGTGTGATCATTCATGGGGTCTATGAGATCATCCATGGGATCTGGGTGCCCCTGTTTGTTCTTGGGATCTGTGTGATCATCCATAGGGTCTGTGGGATCATCTGTGGGGTCTGTGGGATCATCCGTGGGGTCTGTGGGGTTTTCCATGGCACTCTGAGCTCCTGTGGGATCATCCACGGGATCAGTGGGATCATCTGTGGGATCTGTTGGATCATCCATGGGATCTGGGTGCCCCTGTTTGTTCTTGGGATCTGTGGGATCGTCTGTGGGGTCTGTGGGGTTTTCTATGGCACTGAGCTCCTGTGGGGTCATCTGTGGGATCGTCCATGGGACTCTGTGGGATCTTCTGGGGGATCCTTTTATGGGAACTTTGGGAGCCCCCAGGGCTGGACACCCTCCCCAGATCCTGCAGTGGCCATGGGGATCCCTTTCCTCAGCTTGAGGGGGCTGTGGGGACCCTCTGAAGGAACTTTAGGGGTCTCTATAGGGTTTGGGGGGGCTGTAGGAACATGTTGGGAGCTCAGTAGGGGCTGGGGGTTCTGTGGGGTCTCACGAGGAGGGGCTTTATAAGGGCTGGGGGGCCACAGGGACCCTGTGGGAGGGCTTTTGTTGGGGCTCTATCGGGGCTGGGGGTCCATAGGGCCCCCATGGGGTTCGGGGGTCCCATCCCTGCCCCCCTTTTGACCCCCCCACCCCATTGCAGTACGAGAGCCAAACGTCCTTCGGGTCCATGTACCCCCACCCGCATCGAGGGGTGAGTCGGGAGGGGGCTTTGGGTGGGGGGAAGGACACCCTGGCGGGGCTTTATGGGGTGGGAAGGGGACCCCAGACCCTAAATCCTCCTGGGAAGAGAGGGGGAGCACCCTGGAGTGACCCCAGACCCCTAAATCCTCCTGGGAAGGAAGGGGGAGCACCCTGGGGAGGCTTTTTGGGGTGGAGGTGTCACCCTGGGGAGGGAGCACCCAGGGGGGAGTTGGAGGAGGGGGTTGTGGCTGTCTTGGGGGGTCCCTCAGCCCCTTGTCCCCCCACCCCAGGACACCTCTCGTGTCCCCCCAGGGCCACCCGGCTGTTCTGTGACGTTTACAACCCCCAGAGCAAAACCTACTGCAAGAGGCTGCAGGTGCTGTGCCCCGAGCACTCCCGGGACCCCAAGGTGGGCACAGAATGAGAATTTGGGGTGGAATTTAGGGGATTTGTGCCCTGAGCATTCCCAGGACCCCAAGGTGGGCACAGGGGGACTTTGGGGGGCAGGAACAGTGCCCAGGACAGTCCTGGGACTCCAAGGTAGGCACAGAATGAGGGTTTGGGGTGGAATTTAGGAAATCTGTGCCCAGAGCACTCCCAGGACACCAAAGTGGGAACAGAATGAGTTTTTGGGGTGGAATTTAGGGCATCTGTGTTCCAAGCACTCCTGAGACCCCAGGGTGGGCACAGGGGGACTTTGTGGGGCAGGGGCAATGCCCAGGACCCCAAAGTGGGCACAGTATGAGATTTTGGGGTGGAATTTAGGGGATCTGTGCCTTGAGCATTCCCAGGACCCCAGAGTGGGCACCGAATGAGAATTTGGGGTGGAATTTAGGGGATCTGTGCCCTGAGCACTCCCAGGACACCAAGGTGGGCATGAGAGGACAGGGCAGGGGCAGTGCCCAGGACATTGCCAGGACCGCAGGGTGGCCGTGGAGGTGGCAGAGGGGCTCGGGGTGTCCCCAGCCCGGCACTGACCCCGTGCCCACCCAGGTGCCCGCGGACGAGGTGTGCGGGTGCCCTCTGGTGCGCGACGTCTTCGAGCTGACCGGGGACTTCTGCCGCGTCCCCAAGCGCAAGTGCCACCGTCACTACTGCTGGGAGAAGCTGCGCCGCGCCGAGGTGGACCTGGAGCGCGTCCGCGTGGTGGGTGCCACCAAAGTGTCCCCAAAGTGTCCCCACACTGCTCCATGTCCCCATGGTGTCCCTGTCCCTGTTCCTACACTGTCTGTCCCTGTCCCCACCCTGTCTCTGTCCCCACACTGTCCCTGTCCTCATGCTGTCTCTGTCCCTTGTCCCCACACTGTCCCTGCTGCTGTCCCCACACTGTCCACATGCTGTCCCTGTCCCCTGCAGTGGTACAAACTGGACAAGCTGCTCGAGCAGGACTGTGTCACTGTCCCTGTCCCCACACTGTCCCCACCCTATGCATGTCCCTGTCCCTCCAGTGGTACAAGCTGGACGAGCTGTGTGTCACTGTCCCTGTCCCCACACTGTCCCTGTCCCTGTCCCCACACTATCACTGTCCCTGTCCCCACACTGTCCCTGTCCCCACAGTGGTACAAGCTGGATGAGCTGTTCGAGCAGGACAGTGTCACTGTCCCTGTCCCTGCAGTGGTACAAGCTGTATGTCACTGTCCCTGTCCCCACAGTGTCCCCACGCTGTCCCTGTCCCCACAGTGGTACAAGCTGGATGAGCTGTGTGTCCCTGTCCCCACAGTGTCCCCACACTGTCCCTACGCTGTCCCCACAGTGGTACAAGCTGGACGAGCTGTGTGTCACTGTCCCTGTCCCCACAGTGGTACAAGCTGGACGAGCTGTTCGAGCAGGAGCGCAATGTGCGGGCGGCCATGACGAACCGTGCGGGGCTGCTGGCGCTGATGCTGCACCAAACCATCCAGCACGACCCTCTGACCACGGACCTGCGCTCGGACCGCTGACCAGGGCCTGCCTCAGACCACTGACCGCCCCTGGAGCCCCCAAACCCCCCCAGACCCCTCCCCACATCCCCCCACCCCTGGTTCCTGAGTGCTCCCCCATCCCCAAATAAACTGGGTGTGCAAAAGGAGTCTGGGGGTGTCCCTTTTGTGGGGTCGTTCATGGGATATAGAAGGGCTTCTGTGGGATCTTTGGGATTCTAGGGGTGCCTGTGTGAGGAATTTTGAGAGCCCCCAGTTCCTGGTACCACCTCCGGCCCCTGCAGAGGCTGTGAGGATCTCTTCTCTGGCCTTGGGGGCAGCTGGGGGGTCCTGAGAAGGTTGGGGGGTCCTTAGGGGGTGCGGGGGCTGGAAATGGGAGCAGCAACCATGGCGGGGCTGGGAGGGGTCCCTGGCAGGGTTGGGGGTCCTGAGGAGAAATGTGAGCAGCATCCATGGCGGGGCTGGGAGAGGTCTCTGGCTGTTTTGGGGGGTCCTTTGGAGGGGGTTGTGGATGGGGGGGGAAATGGGAGCAGCATTCTTGGGGAGATTGAGGGGTCCCTGGCGGTTTTTGGGGGATCCTGAGGGTCGTGGTGGGGCTGGGAGGGCTCTCTGGCTGTTTTGGGGAGTCCTTTAGGGGGGTCCGGGGGGTCCTGGGCAGGGGAAAGGACCCCAAAAGGCCCCAGGGGAACGCTCCGGGCTAATTAGCATAGCCACGCCCACACAAAGCTCATTAACATATCCCCTCACTCCTGGCGTCACGTGCCCGGCAGTCACGTGCCTCGCCCTCTGCACAGGTCGCGTGTCGCCCCGCCCCTCCCTGGTTCTGCCCTTTCTCATTGGTCCATTCTGCTTCACGTGACCCAAATCTCCGTCCCTGCTTTTCCCGCCCGGCGTTTCCGCTTCCGGCCCGGGGCCCCGCCCCCAGCGGCCTCGCGGCGTCGCTGGAGGAAGAGGAGGAGGAAGAGGAGGAGGAAGAGGAAGAGCTGCGCCACAGGCGGGGGCGGATGGGAACGGTGAGGGGCCAGAGGGGTGCGGGACTGCAGCGGGGCTGAGCGAGGAACGGGGAGCGAGAGGGATCCGAGCGGGGAAACGCGGCCGGTGGGGACGGGCGAGCCGTGAGGGAGTGGGGGGGGGCGGGCGGCTGAGGTGGGTTCGTGTGGGGGAAAGGGCGTGAGGAAAGGGGCTGGGAGAGGGAGGGGGAGTTTGGGGGCAGTTTGTGAGGGGAAGGGGCGGTTTGAGGGAGGTTTTTGAGGGAACGGGGCAGTTTTGGGGCAGTTTGTGAGGAAGAGGGGCAGTTTTGAGGTTGTTTCTCAAAAGGAGGGGCAATTTGGAGGCAGTTTGTGAGGCGGAGGAGTGGTTTTGGGGGCAGTTTTTGAGGAGAAGGGGCAGTTTTGGGGGCAGTTTGTGCGGGGGAGGGGCAATTTGAGGGCAGTTTGTGAGGGAGAGGGGCAGTTTTGGGGTTGTTTCTTAGTGGGAGGGGGGGTTTTGGGGGCAGCTTCTGAGGAAAAGAGGCAGTTTTGGGGTTTGTGACGAGGAGGGGCAGTTTCTGAGGAAAAGGGGCAGTTTTGGGCGTTGTTTGTGAGGGGAAGGGGCAGTTTTGGGGTTTTTTCTGAGGGGGAGGGGCGGTTTGTGTGAGAAAGGGGCAGTTTGGGGGCAGTTTCTGAGGGGGGCGGGGCAGTTTCTGGGCAGTTTATGAGGGGAAGGGACACTTTGGCGTGGAGGAGGCACCGCTTGGGAGGTTTTTGTGGGTGGGGGCGGAACTCCGGGGCAGTTTTGGGGGTGTCCTTGCGGGGGAGGGGCGGGCCCGGAGCTGTGTTTGTGTGGGGGAGGGGGAGCCTTGGCTGTGGGGGAGGGGAGGACGGAGTCACGTGGGGAGGGGGCGGGGCCGGGCGTTGTTTGGGGGCGGGGTCCAGGGGCTGTTCGGGCTCTCGGGGCCGGCCGTGACCCCCTCCCCACCCTCTCCCCGGGGCTCTCAGCCCCCCCGCAGGTATGGCGGAGGGCTGGGCCGAGTGCCCGGCGCTGGGCCCGGGCTGGCAGCGCCGCGAAGCTTTTCGGAAATCCGGAGCCACCAGCGGCCGCAGCGACACCTACTACAGGAGGTGCCTCTCCCCAAAAACCCCCAATTCTCCCCTCCCTACCCCACGGGACTGCGGGTGGGGCCGGCTCTGCCCTTTCTCCCCTCCTAGACCCCATCCCGTGTCCATTTATGGGCTTCCCCCTCACCCCCCGGTGGTGTTTCAAGGGGGATTTCAGAGCCCCTCTCCCATCTCCCCCTCCACCCCCTCCAGGATCTCCCCAGGGCCACCTCAGAGCCCCTTTCTCCAAATACTCCCATTCCTCTCCAACTTTTCCAGGCTATTTTGGGGCTCGGGGGTCCTTTTTGAGAGTTTTGGAGTCCCCTGAGCTCTGTTTGGTCCCCCTTTCCCTCTCTCCCTTTGGCATTTGGGGGCTCCCCCAGACTCAGCGGTCCCCGTGGGGTTTTGGGGCCATTCCTGGGTGTTTTGGGTCCCCTCTGACCCTACCCCTCGGCAGCCCCACAGGGCAGAAGTTCCGCAGTAAGATCGAGCTGCGACGGTTCCTGGGCCCTGGGCATGACCTGAGCAACTTCGACTTCAAATCGGGGCAGCAGCGACCTGGCCCCACCCGGGTATGGGGGATGGGACCCTAAAAACCACGGGAGGGACCCTAAAAACCATGGGAGGGGCACGAAAATCCCAAAAAACTTCAGGGAGGGAAACCTGGAGCTCTCCTTGGGGTGGGAGCCCCATAACAAGAAGGGGATTGGGGGTGGAATAAAGAGATGGGGCAAAAGGAGCTCCTCGAAATGAGGTTGAGGAGAACATGAATTGAGGGGGGAAACAAGGGGTCCTTAAATTGGGGAGGAACAGGAATGAGAGGGATCACAAGGGATTGTTATGACCTCCCCATTTTCTGCTTTTCAGACCAAGAAGAGCCCCAAATGGCACCTGCCCGCCGGGCCCCTCCCAGAGCCCCCCAAAATCTTCACAAAGGAGGAAGAGGAGGTGGAGGTGGAGGTGGAGGTGGGCGGGGCTGAGACCGAGAAGGCCCCACCCTCACCAGGTCAGGCCTTGCCCATCCCCAACCAGGCCACGCCCTCTTCATCTGTGGCCACGCCCCTGAGGGAGCCCCCCCATCGCCGGACCCGGAAGCGGCCGCCCCTGGAGCCCCCCCCGGATGGGGTTATGGCGTGAGTGGGGGAAGGGGGGGGTCGTGGGGTCCTCCAGGTGTGGGGAGAGGGTCCCAGGAGTGGGGAGTGACCCCAGGAGGGAGGGATTGGGGTCCCTGGGGGGAGTTTGGGGGGATCCTTGGGGAGAAATTCAGAGTATTGGGGGTTCCCTCAGGGGGGCTGTGGGATCGTGGGGGGCCATGGGGGTGTTGGGGTCCCCCTGGCCTACCCCCCAAAAATACTGCCCTCTCTGCAGGCTGTGTGCTGGCTGCCAGACCCTCTTCCCAGGGGTGTCCCTGCCCCCCCAGCGCCGCTGCCGCTGGCTGTGCCCTGACTGCCGTGGTGAGCTTCAGCCTCAGTGCCTTGCTCCTCATCCTCTTCATGCTCCTCCTCATCCTCTGTGCTCCTTCTCCTTCTCTGAGTCTTTCTGTCACCTTCTTGAGCTCTCTCAGAGCTTTTTCTGTTTTATCCTCTTCCTCATTTTCCTGTTCTTCTTGTCCTTCATTCCCTGGGGTTTTTCCTCTCCATCATCATCATCATCATTTCTTGAATTTCTTCAGCCTCGTAATTATCACTTTATTCCTCTGAAACTTCCTCTTCCTCCTCCCTGATTCCTCCCTGCCTCCTTTTTCCCTCTGTTTTGGACCATTTTGGTGGGGAAGGGAGCTTGAAGGACTTTGGGAAGGGGATCAGGAGGGAATCCCAGGAAATTTGGGGTGACCCTGACCCCCCTCCCTCCACCTCCCCCAGCCCAGAGACGAGACTTCAACCGGGAGCAGCGATTCTACAAGGTACCCCCAATCCTTTAGGGGTGGGAAATGGTGCCCTTGGGCATTCCCCAAAGCCCTCAGGGGGTGTTTGGGGGCCCCCCCAGAGCCCTGACACCCCCTCCCCACAGCGGGTGGGCTGTGGCACGTGCCAGGCCTGTCGCATCCCCGAGGATTGCGGCATCTGCAGCGCCTGCGCCCGCAGCCCCCCCGGGGGCCCCTCCGGGCCCGGCCGGACCCCCAAGTGCCTCCTGCGCCGCTGCCTGCGCATCGTCAAGAAGGTACCGGCACCCCCTTGTCATTGTCACCCCACTCGGTGTCACCAACACTCACCCTGGTATCACCAGCACCCCTTCATGTTGCTGTCACCCCCCCTCAGTGTCACCAGTACCCCCTTGTCATTGTCACCCCTCTCATGTCACTCTAATCCTCCCTCTCCCAGTGTCACTGTCACCCCCCAGTGTCACTGTCAACCCCTAAATGTCACCAGCACCCTGCCCATGTTAGTGTCACCTCTGTCATGTCACTGAAATCCTCGCCTTCCCAGTGTCACTGTCACCCCCCAAGTGTTGGTGTCACCCCCTCAATGTCACCATAATCCTCTCTCTCCCCATGTCACTGTCACCTCCTGTGTCACCACAAACCTGTGTGTCCCCTGTGTCACCTCTGTCACCTCCATGTCCTCTCCTTCATTGTCTGAGGATGTGCGTGCTGCTGTGTTAATTAGCATTAATCTGTGTTAATTAACATTACCAGTGTTACTCTGCGTGACTGATACCCCACATTATTTTACATTATCGCATTTTATCCCTGTTATCTCATGTTATTTTGTGTTATTCCACTCTGTTGCCTGTTATCTACATTATTCCACGCTCCTGCAGGGCCTGGGCTGCAGCTCCTGCCTTGTCCCCCTGTCCCCGTCCTTGTCTGTGGTTGCTCTTTCACCCACATCCTCCTATACCCTGGAGTGTTATCCCATGTTTGTTATCCTGTATTTTCCCATATTTGCCCGTGTTTTCCCTGCTTTCCTGGGTAGCCTCCGTGTCCCTGCAGGGCCTGGGCTGCAGCTCCTGCCTTGTCCCTTGTCCCCCTGTCCCTGTCCCTTGTCTGTGGTTGCTCTTTCACCCATGTCCTCCTATACCCTCGAGTGTTATCCCATATTTGTTATCCTGTATTTTCCCATATTTCCCCATGTCCTTTATCCCATATTTTCCCATATTTCCCCATGGTTTTTATCCTGTATTTACCTATATTTCCTCATGGTTTTTATCCTGTATTTACCTATATTTCCCCATGTTTTTTATCCTGTATTTTCCCATATTTCCCCATGTTTTCCCTGCCCTCCTGGGTAACCCTCGTGTCCCCTCTGCAGCGCCTGCCTTGTCCTCCTGTCCCTTGTCTGTGGCTGCTCATTCACCCACATCCTCCTATACCCTCGAGTGTTATCCCATGTTTGTTATCCCATGTTTTCCCATGTTTTCCCTGTGTTTTGTCCCCGCAGGGCCTGGGCTGCGGCTCCTGCGCCGGCTGCCTGAGCACCGAGGACTGCGGCAGCTGCTGCATCTGCCTGCGGCGCCTGCAGCCCGGCCTCAAGCGCCAGTGGCGCTGCCTGCGGCGCCGCTGCCTGCGCCCCAAGGTGGGACTGTCCCCCCAGAACCCCCCCAGTGTCACCCCTGCCACCCCTGGGACCCCCAGCACCTCCCCACTGTCTGCCCTGATGTCACCCTGGTGTGTCCCCCACCCTTTGTCCCCTGCTAACCCCCCACCCTGTGTCCCCCCAGAAAGCCAAGGTGGCCAAGAAGCCGCAGAGCCCTCGGGCCCTGACAGAGGTGAGTGTGAGACCCCCACACCGGGCAGTGGCACAGCGGAGACCCCCGGGTGTTCTGGGGGACCCCCAAAGTGCCACCCTCAGCCCCAATTCTCCCCCCAGAAATGGAAGCCTGTCGTGGAGCGGGAGCCCAGTGATGCCTCCAGCACCAGGCACAGAGTGAGTGGGACCCCCCTGTGCACACCTGGGCACACCTGGAACCCCCCCCCACAAACCCCCCCTCCCTCCCAGAAGCTGCTGAACAAGGGCAAGGAGAAGAAGAAGCCGGGGCGACCCCTCAAGGCCCCTGGGCCCCGCGGGGTGAGTGACAGGCCTTAGCCACGCCCCCAAACTCATAGCCCCACCCCTCCATCAATGGCCTCTCCCCTTCCAGAGCAGCTATTGGGGCAGGGGGGAAGCCGTAATGCCCTTAATATAGGGGCCTGTAAAAGGGGGCAGTATTGGGGTACAGGTACCATAATGATCCTATGAGCTGTTCCAAGACTGAATATTGGGGTTCATCACATTTAAACCCCACTAATATTGGGGTGCCAAAACCATAATACTTCTAACGCTGGGGTCAGATCATTGTGACACCCCAAAAACTCTTCACAGCTGATGGTGAGGTTTGAGCAACCCTGGCTGTGGCGTTGGGGCAGTGTAATGCTCCAAATTTTGGGGTTCAGGTAACCCAAAACCTCTCGGAGCAGAGTTTGGTTACCATAATTCTCCTAATAACTGCTCCAGGTATAGCAGAACCCAAGGTACCAATAGTGGGGTACAGATAGCGTAATACCTCTAGTAGCAGAATGCCCCAAATGCTGGGGCTCAGATACCATAATGGCTCTATTAGTGGAGTGCAGATACCGTAATGCCTCTAAGAGTGCAGCTACCATAATGCCCCAAATAGTGAGGTGCAGTTACCATAATGTCTTCAAAAGTGGGGTGCAGATACCGAAGTGCCTCTAATAGTGGGGCTCAGATACCGTAATACCTCTAATAGTGGGGTGCTGATACCGTAATGCCCCAAGTACTGGGGCTTGGATACCATAATGTGTCTAATAGTGGGGAACAGATAATATTTTTAATATCAGGATGCAGATACCATAATGCCTCTAATAGTGGGGTTCAGATACCATAATGCCTCTCATAGCAAGATGCAGATACTGTAATGTCTCTAATAACAGAGCTTTGATACTGTATTGCCCCAAATAGTGAGGCTTACATGCCGTAATGCTTCTAATAGCAGGGCTCAGACACCATAATGCCTCTAATAATGGGGTGCAGATACCACAGTGCCCCAAATACTGGGGCTTGGATACCGTAATGCTTCTAGCAGCAGGGTGCGGATACCGTAATACCCCAAATACTGGGGCTCAGATAACATAATGTCTCTTATAGTAGAGTGCAGATAATGTAATGCCCCAAATACTGGGGCTTGGAAACTGTAATGCCTTTAAAATTGGGCTGCAGATACCGTAATGCCTCTATTAGTGGGGTGAGATAACATAATGCCTCTAATAGCAGGGCTCCGATACTGTAATGCCCCAAATACTGGGGCTCAGATACCATAATGCCTCTAATAGCTGCTCCTACCGGAATGCTCTTCCTAACCCGCGCTGTTGCCTGGCTGCCGTAATACCCCTAACACCACCGCATCTACCGTAACGCTCCTAATAGCTGCTCCCGCACTAACACCGCGCCACCGGGCAGGCCCTGGGGACCCCCCGCACTGCGGCGGGCCCTGGGGACAGCTGGGGGCGCGGGGGGTGACGCTGCTCTCTGCCGGCAGCGGGGGGTGCGGAGCCGGGCCAGCCGGCGCTGCGGGGTGTGCCCACCCTGCCGGCGCCCGGCCGACTGCGGCCGCTGCGACTTCTGCCGGGACAAGCCCAAATTCGGGGGGCAGAACTTCAAGCGCCAGAAGTGCCGCTGGAGGCAGTGCCTGCGCTGTGCCATGGTGGGTGCCCCCCAGTGCTTCCTCCCTCCCAGTAACGTCCCAGTGAGTCCCAGCCATCCCCTCCAGCCCCCCTTTCCTCAGTGACCCGACTCCTTCGGCTGGGGAAACTGAGGCACATGCAAGGTTCGGGCTCCCCGGCCCCCCCTGCGCTGGGTGCAGCCCAGTTTGGACCAGTATGGACAAGTTCAGGGTGCGAAGGGGGGCATTGGTTGGCACCCAGGTGGCACCTGGACGGCTGGATTCTGTTTCTGGTGGGGGGTTGACTGGACACCTGGGTCCTTCCTGCATTGCTTGGCTTTGGGGGGCTCACCCTGGGTCCCTTTTGAGGGGAAGGGGTGGGGGTCCCAGGTGGGGGTCCCTTGGCCACCCAGGCCCACCTGGGGGGGCTCTTCTTGCATTTGTGCCCCCCCCAAATCCACATCCCCCTCCCCTCGGCACTGCCCCCCCCCCGCTCTGAGGTCTCTCTCCTGGCGCAGAGGCGGCTGCTGCCGGTGGGGGGGGGTCGCTGGGGGTCCCCCTGGAGCGGCCGCCCCCTCCCCCTGTCCAGGCCCCACTGCCGCCGGCCCCCCCGCGCCGCCGCCCGGAGCCGCCGCCGCCTGCCCCGCCCCCCCGGCAAGGTAACGGGACCCCCCCCTCTGCTCAGGGGGACCCCAAAATCCTCCTCCCACCCCCACGGGACCCTCACCCTGCCCCCCCAGAAATAACCCCATATTCCCCCCCCTCCTTGGCTGTGCTTGCTTTGCTGCTTTGCTCTGCACGCACTCTCCCCGCTTGGGGGCACCCAGGTGTCAGGGGAGGGGACCAAGGTGTCCCCACGCCCCCCCTCCCCCCGCAGGAGTGGCTCTGGGGGGTTTTGGGGACCCCCAGATGCCTCAGTCCCCTCCCCTGTAACCCCAAGGCTTGTGTGTGCCTCAGTTTCCCCACGGGGGATGAGGTGGGGGGGTCCTCTGGAGACACCTGAGTCCCTTTTTCAGGGGTGGGGGGTCCCTCCTGGATATACCTGAGGGGAAATGGGGGGGGTCTCACCTGGCTGCCCCTCCCCCATAGGAGAAGGAGGAGCTGCTGGGGGGGGCTGAGAACGGCCCCAGGCCCCTCCCGGGTCCCCCCCTGCGCCTCTGCCCCATCAAGGAGGAAACAGGACCCCTCCCCCGCCTCGAGGTGAGACCCCCCAGCTGCCTGGAACCCCCCCTGCACACCTGGGACCCCCCCGTGACCCCCCCTGCCCCCCAGGACCCTCGCCTGGGGCTCCTCATCGCCTCGGCCCCGCGCCTCAAAGGGGCCCCCCCGGAGCCCAGCGTCGCCCCCCAAAGGGTGAGTGGGACCCCAAACACCCCCTGAGGCTCCTCGGGGTGCCTGGGACCCCCATAACGCCCCTGCCCCCCTTTTTCCAGCCCCCCCCGGGGGATCTGGGGGTCCTGATCGCCGCCACCCCCCGCGTGAAGCAGGAGCAGCCGCAGCCCAGCGCGTCCCTGGTGCCGGTAAGGGGGGGAGACCCTGGGGTTTGGGGGGGTCCCTGGGGTTTGGCGGGGGTCCTGAGCCTCTGCCTTCACCCCCAGGTGCCCCCCCAGCCTCCCCCTCCCCAGCTGGTGGTGCTGGATGAGAGTGAGGAGGAGGAGGAAGAGGAAGAGGAGGGCGGCAGCCAAGTGGTGAGGAAGAGGGGGGGTCAGAGGATTTGGGGGGATCCTGGGGGGGGGTTTTGACGGGTGAGGGGTCTTGGGAAGGGGTTGGGGGTGTCCTGGGGGTGGCTTTAAAGGGAATTTGGGGAGAGGGGTCTGACAAATGGGAACTTTAGGTGGGATGTTGGTGAGCTAGGGAAGGGATTTTTGGGGCTGGGGGGAGGTTTTTGGGGTCCTGGTGAGTTTGGGAAGGGATTTTATGAGTGGGGGGCGTGTTTTGGGGCCCTGGTGAATTTGGGAAGGACTCTTGGCATGACCGTTATGTTTTTTGGGAGGCTCTCCAAGCAGGGTGGTTTACATGGAGGAGGTTCCTGCTGGCTGGGGGGGTTCTTGGGGCTCTCTAATCATTTCCCCCACCCTATTAACCCTTTCTCCCCCACAGCCCTTCCCGCTGCCCCCCGCTCCCCAGCTCTGGCCCGGCTCCTTCCTGGAGGAACTGGCCGAGATTCCCCTCCCGGCCCACTGGGGGGTCGTGGGGGCTGACGGTGGTCCCGGGCCGTGCCCGGCGCGGGGGCTGAAGCTGGTGCAGCGCTGCCCCCGCTCCTCCATGGCCGCGGCCGCCGTGCTGCTCAACCCGGGCTTGGCATTCCGGGTCCTGGTGGCCCGCGGCCGCCCAGTGCCCCCCGGGCACGAGGTGCTGGCCCGGCGCCCCCCCCTGCGCTCCGTGCTGGACCTGGTGGAGCTGCTCTGCGATCTCGAGGCCTACGGGCCCTGCCCGGGACCCCCGGCCCGGCCCCCCGCCCCCCGCTGCCATGTCCTGGTGAGGGGGGGGCGCTGCTGCCGGCCCTGCCAAATGCTGGCGGGGGAGGGGCATTGAGGGAAAGGGGGAGGAGGGGATTTTGGGGAGGTGGGGAGGAGGGGATTGGGGTGGGGAGGGGGAGCAGTTTGAGGGGGTGGTAGTGAAAAATGTGGGGAGGGGAATGGTGATGGGAAGGAAGAAGGGAAATGGGAAAGGAAGCAAAATTTGGGTGGGTTGGGAAGTGATGATTGAACTGGAATTGGGGTGGGAATAAAATTGGGAGGGGGAGAGGATAATGAGGAACCTAAAAGTGAGGGGGGAACTAAAATTGGGGGATGTGGGGGTGGTGGGGAGGAGGGATGGGGTGTTGCACCTTTGGGGAGTGGGATTTGGGGATGGAGCCTTGGGTGTAGTGGGAGAGGGGCACTGGGGGGTCCCCAGGATGGGATTGGCACCCCAGAATCCCCTGAGAGTCACTGGGAGGTTCTGGGGTGCCCCCCCAGGTTTGGGAGCACCAGGACCCCACTGTGGGGATTTAGGGGGACCCCAGGGTAACATCCCGGTTTTGGGGACCCCTGCCCCCCCCCACAGTGTCAGGTCGCCCTTCCCCCTGTGACACAACAAGGCTGAGGGACCCCAGTGGTGGCATTTTGAGTGGGGGGAGTCCCCAGTTTGGTACCACTCCCCCCGTTTGGTTTCCCAGGGATATTGGGGTGTTCTCAGCACCCATTTTTGGGGGGGCTTGCCCCCCACCCCCCAGGTTTATGGGGACATCAGGTTTATGGGGCCCCGAGTTTGTTTGTTCTCCCATTTCCCCAGTGCCATACTGGGGCCCCACCCCCCAGAGCTTCTATTTTTGACACTGGAACCGCCCTCCGAAATGGGGGCGCGGCCCCTTTAAGAGCCCTGCCCTCCCTGCTCCTCCTTACAGATTTAAATGACCTGTTTAAGGCGCGGGGAGGGGCGTGGCTTTATCCAGCCCCGCCCCTTTGTTCAGGCCCCGCCTACACGCACCTTTCACCTGCTGTTGCTTCCTCAGGCCACGTCCCTTTATGGTAAAATGGGCGTGGCCTGAACTGCTTTAGCCACTCCCACCCCCGCCCCTTGCGCTGCCTTCAGGGAGTTTCGCGCGCCGAAGCCATAACCCCGCCCCCTCCCCTTAGCCCCGCCCCCTCGGCAGAATTTAAAGAGAACGCAAGGAATTATTTTTGTTAAAAGTAATAAAAGCTTTAAGGAGAAAAATAAAACATCTGGTGGTCCTTGAGACAGGAATCGGTGTCCGGAGGGGGGCCTGGCGGTCCACACACCTGGAGCCCCCCCAAATTTGAGGGAGGGTCTCACGGGCCTGTCCCAAACACCTTCTCCAGCAGGCTCTGGGGGGGAGCGGCCGGGGGGGGCCGAGCTTTGCGCCTCCAAATCTCCTCTTCTGTCTGTCTCTGGGTGAAGCCCCAGGTCCGGGGAGGGGCTGCGGAGTCTCCCGAGGTTTTGGGGGGCTCCTTGGAGGCGTGGCGGGCGTAGAACCCCCCCTCCCGCTTGGCCTGGGCCACCTCGGCCCGCAGGCGCTGCGCCCTCACCTGGCGCTCGTAGCTCAGCCGCTCGCTCAGGTGAGGCCACCGGAAGCCGGGCAGGTACTGGGGGGGGTGGGCACAGGTCAGGGCACCCCCAAACAACCTCAGACCCTGCCCCTCAATAAGGTTTTGGGGTGTTCAAAGCCCCATCAGCTTTGAACTGGGGCCTCCCAACACAGCTCAGCCCCTCCCCACTGAATGCCCCTCCGACAATGTGGGGGACCCCCCTGAACCCTAAAACAGGGACCCCCAGTGAGGCAAAACCATCGGAGACCCCCCAAAAAAGGGACCCGGGTGCTCCCTACAAATTTGGGACCCCCACAAAAGGGACCCCAACCCCTCACCTATAAAGGGTCCCAATCACCCAGGAACCCACCAAAGATCTGAGACCCCTCAAAAAGGGATCTGAGACACCCCAAAAAAGGGATCCAGGTGATCCCTACAAATCTGGGACCCCCAAAAAGGGACCTCAACCCCTCACCCATAGAGTCCCAATTACCCAGGAACCCACAGGTGCCCCCCCCCTCTTTTTCCAGGGCACCCAAAATTCTGAGCCCCCCCTCCCAAAAATGGATCCAAGCCCCGCTAAAACCGTTCTGAATCCCCCAGTACCCCTCCCCAGCACCTCCCGAGCCGCACCTTGATGCTCCAGTAGTGATGGCGGAAGGGGCTGCGGGGCCGGGGGGCCATGGGGGCCCCGTGCAGGAGTTTGGCCGCGCGTTTGGCCGCTCGCTTGTCCCGGAATTCCACCCAGCCCTCGGCGAACGCCACGGCCGGGGGTCCCCCCGGGCGCTGCCGCCGCCGCCGCACGGAGCCTCCTGCGGGAACGGGGAGGGGGCGCTGAGACCCCCGGGAGGGCTGAGCCCCCCACCCAAGGGTGCTAAACGTGGTGTCAGCGGGGCTGCGAGGGGCCCTGACCCCCAAATCCCCTTCCTGCCTGTGGGGACTCCCCCTTCCCCCATTGCTGGGGGTCTGTGGGGCACCCTGACCCCCTCAGGGACCCCTTGCCCCCTCCCAAAACTCCCCCCAGATCACCCCCGGGACCCCCGGACTCACCGTGGGGCTGCAGGAAGACCCTGCCCAGCTCCCCGTGCGGCCGCAGCAGCGCCCGGGCCTGGCGGGGCCCGAAGCCCGGGGGGAGGAAGGACAAATAAAGGACCCCCGGTACCACCGGCTTTGGAGGGGGGTCCGAGGAGGCTTCGGCAGCGGGGGAGCCCGCGGGATCCTCCTCTTCCTCCTCCTTTCCTTCCTCTTCTTCCTTCTTTCCTTCCTCTTCTTCCTCCTTTCCTTCCTCTTCTTCCCCCTCCATTTCTTCCTCTTCCTCCTCTTCTTCCTCTTCCTCCTCCTTTTCTTCCTCTTCTTCCTCCTCCTCCTCCTCGCCTCTCCCGTGTGGGTCCCGCTCGGCCGCAGCCATGGCCCCTGCGGTGGGCAGGAGGGAGTTAAAGGGAAGTGACCACCCTCAGAGCCCCCTCACCCCTTTCCAGGCTCTGTCGCACCCCCGAATTCCCCCTGGGACCCCCAAAATCGCCCCCCGGGCCCCCTCGGTCCCGCACCCTCACAACGCGGCCGGCCGCGGTCGTAAAATACCAACACAGCCGTAAAGCACCGCTAGCAGGGGCGGGGGAGTCGCGAAAAAGCCGTAAAGCGCAGAGAGGCGTGGCCTCATTTTAGGGGCGGGTCTTAGGTGACGGGGCGTGGTTACGCAGGGAAGGGGCGTGGCTCAATGTGGGGGCGCAGCCTGGCTGCGGCGGGAAGCGCGCGCCGCGGTTTGGGCGGGAACGGCTGAGGCGGAGTTTTGGCGGGAAAGGCCCCGCCCGCTCTGGGACCCCTCGAACTCCCCTCAGTGCCTCCCCCCCCCCACCGCAGCCCCTGGACCCACTGACCCCTCCCCGGACCCACTGACCCCTCCCGTACCCAATGACCCCCCTCAATATCCCCTCCTTGTCCCCTCAGAGCTCTCCTGGGTCAGCCCCCCTGCCATGTCCCTCACAGACCCCGTACCTCTCCATGGCCCCCTCAGCCCCCCCAAATGTCCCCACAGCCCCCCAGGACCCCCCTCAGGTCCCCAGAGCCCCCTCCAGAGTCCCCCTGAGCCCCCCCGTGTTCTCCCTCCCTCATTGCTGCTGGGGGGGGTCCTGGCTGCAGATGAGCAGTGGATTATTCCCCCCCCCATAATCCGACAGCTGGGGGGGATTAGAGCCCTCCCGGCCCCCCCAAACCCCCCGAGGGCTCAGCCCCATCATGGGACCCCCTGGGGATGTGTTGGGGGGGCACCCCTAATCCCCCTCACTCCCCCCCCAATAATTAACATCTGGTTTAATTGGGGGGGGCCCACGGGACTGCGGGAGTTCGGCCAAACCGGGATTGGGGGGGGGAGCCCTCCCCCTCCTGTACCCATCAGCATCTGGAGGGACCCCGAGGGGGGGGGAACTGGGGGGAATTTGGGGGGGCCAGGACAGGGGCGGCCCCCACCCGCAGTTCCCAGCGGCTGCACAGGGACAGGAGCACCCAGGGGCCAGGTGAGCAGGATGGGGGCGCCGGGACCCCAAACTGGGGGGTGCTGGGGACCCCCAAACCTCCCTCCAGGGCGGGGACAGAGCCCTCTGCCCCATGGGGGCTGCCCCCCGCATTGGGGGTGTCCCTGCCTCATGGGGTGTCATTACCCCCCTCCCCATCCCCAACAGGGTGTCCCCCCACCCCAATGGGTGCCCCCCCGTAACCTCCCTCTGTCCCCTCCTGCCCACCCTGGTGTTCCTGTGACCCCCCTGCCCCACAGAAAGCCCCCCAAGTCTGCCCCCCACCACCCTCTGACCCCTTTCTCTCTGCCCCCAGCCCACCATGCCAGCCCTGCTGGTGACCCTGCTCCTCCTGTGCCCACCTGACACCCACCCTGCCCCACAGAGAGCCACCTCTGCCCCCCATCACCCCCCAACCCCCTTCTCTTTGCCCCCAGCCCACCATGCCAGCCCCACTGGTGACCCTGCTGGTGTCCCTGCTGTCCCTGTGCCCCCCTGCCCCACAGAAAGCCCCCCAAGTCTGCTCCCCATCACCCCCGACCCCTTTCTCTTTGCCCCCAGCCCACTGTGCCACCACTGCCCACTCTGCTGTCCCTGTGCCCCCCCTGCCCCACAGAAAGCCCCCCAAGTCTGTTCCCCATCACCCCCTGACCCCTTTCTCTCTGCCCCCAGCCCACCATGCCAGCCCCACTGGTGACCCCGCTGGTGGCCCTGCTGGTGGCCCTGCTGTCCCTGTGCCCGCCGTGCCGCTGCCCCCCGGCGCCCACCCAGCCCCACGCCATCCGTCTGGAGGGTGACCTGACTCTGGGGGGGCTGTTCCCGGTGCACGCCCGCGGCCCCGCCGGGGTGCCCTGCGGCCCGGTCAAGAAGGAGAAGGGCATCCACCGGCTGGAGGCCATGCTGTACGCGCTGGACCGCGTCAACGGCGACCCGCGCGTGCTGCCCAACCTGACGCTGGGCGCCCGCATCCTCGACACCTGCTCCAGGGACACGTACGCGCTGGAGCAGGCGCTGAGCTTCGTGCGCAGCCTCCTGCCCCCCGAGGGGGGCGAGGGCAGCTGCCCCGACGGCTCGGCCCCGCGCCGGCCCCCGCCCGAGCGCCTGGTCGGGGTCATCGGGGCCTCCGCCAGCTCCGTGTCCATCATGGTGGCCAACGTGCTGCGGCTCTTCGCGGTGGGTTGGGGGGTTTGGGAACACTGGGGACATGGAGGGGCATTGAGGACATGGGGGGACATTGATGTCTCTGCCAACTCCGTGTCCATCGTGGTGGGTTGGAAGGATTTGGGGGCGTTGGGTGCGTTGGGGACATGGAGGGACATTGAAGACATGGAAGGACATTGGTGTCTCCACCAGCTCCGTGTCCATCATGGTGGCCAACGTGCTGCGGCTCTTTGCGGTGGGCTGGGGGGATTTGGGGGTGCTGGGGGCTTTGGGGACATGAAGGGGCACTGGGGACATGGAGGGGCATTGAGGACGCGGGGGGACATCGGTGTCTCTGACAGCTCCGTGTCCATCATGGTGGCCAATGTGCTGCAGCTCTTTGTGGTGGGTTGGGGGGTTTGGGGACACTGGGGACATGGAGGGGAATTGCGGACATGGAGGGACATTGGGGATGTGGAGGGACACTGGGGACATGGAGGGGCATGAAAGGGCATTGGAGACATGGAGAGACATTGGGGACATGGTGGCCATGGAGGAGAACTGGGGACATTGGGGATGGGGGACATGGAGGGACATTGGTGCCTCTGCCAGCTCCGTGGCCATCATGGTAGCCAATGTTGAGCATCTCTTTGTGGTCACTGGGGATGTTGGGGACATTGGGGGGTTGTTGGGGACATTGGGGGGTCGTTGGGGGCATTGGGGGGTCATTGAGGGCATTGGGGGGTCATTTGGGATATTGCGTGGGTGTTTGGGACATTGTGAGGGTGTTTGGGATATTTTTGGGGGAACGTGGGGGGTGTTTTGGCTGGGGAGACTCTGAGGGGACTGGGACAGTGCTGTCCCTACAGTGCCCTCATGGTGTCTGCTCCCTGTGAGGGGGGGCCTGGACACCTGGTCCCCCTCTGTGTGTCCCCCCCCCCCCCCCCAGGTCCCTTCCAGAACTTTCCCCCCCTCCCCCCTGGGTGTTACCCACAATCCCCTGGGACGGCAGCAAATGGCCCAGGGGGATTAGGGGGGATTAGGGACAGGGACAGGGAAGGGGGGGGGGGTCCCACAGGGCCAGTTCCCCTGAGTGTTGCCCAGGTCTCCCCCCGCATGTCCCTGATGTCCCTCTTGTCCCCAGCCTTGGGGCTGAGCCCCCCATGCCCTCTCACACTGCTCTGTCCCCCATGTCCCCTCAATGTCCCCAGTGTCCCCCCAGACCCCACCTATATCAACAGCTCCACACTGAACCCCCCATGGCACCTCACCCCAATCTCCCCACAACCCCATGATGCCCCCAAACCCCCCAATGTCCCCCTGTCCCTGATACATTCCTGATGTCCCCAGTGTCCCCTTGTCCCTGACATGTCCCCACATCCCCAATGTCCCTCTGTCCGTGATATGTCCCCAATGTCCCCATGTCCCCAGATCCCCCAGGTCAGCTACACCTCCATGGCCCCTGAGATGTTGGACCCCTGTGTGTCCCCCACAAACCCCCAATATCCCCCTGTCCCTTACATGTCCCCAATGTCCCCCTGTCCCTGACACGTTCCTGTGTCCCCAGATCCCCCAGATCAGCTACGCCTCCACGGCCCCCGAGCTGTCAGACCCCGGGCGTTACGAGTTCTTCTCACGGGTGGTGCCGCCGGACTCGTACCAGGCGCAGGCCATGGTGGCCGTGGTGCGGGCGCTGGGCTGGAGCTACGTCAGCACGCTGGCCTCCGAGGGCAACTACGGCGAGAGCGGCGTCGAGGCCTTCGTGCAGAGCTCCCGCGAGGCCGGTGGGCTGGACTGGGCTGTACTGGGTTGTATTGGGCTGTACTGGGTTATACTAAGTTGTACTGGGCTGTACTGGGTTGTACTTGGTTATACTGGGTAATATTGGGTTGTATTGGGTTGTACTGGGCTGTACTGAGTTATACTAGGCTGTTCTGGGTTGTACTGGGCTGTACTGAGTTATACTAGGCTGTTCTGGGTTGTACTGGGCTGTACTGGGGCACTGGGAGCACTGGGAGGGCACTGGGCCATACTGGGATGTACTGGGAGGGTGAGCTCTGCAGGGAAGAGGGAGGTTCTGAGGCCGGGGCAGGGAGGGTGATCCCCATCCACACTAGTCCATACTGGTCCGTACCAGTCCGTACTGGTTTATACTGGTCCGTACTGGGGCAGGGGGCCTGTGCATCGCCCAGTCCATCAAGATCCCGCGGGAGCCGAAGCCAGGGGAGTTCGCCAAGGTCATCGGGCGCCTGATGGAGACGTCGACCGCGCGCGGGGTCGTGCTCTTCGCCAACGAGGACGACATCCGGTGAGACCAGTGCACACCAGTGCACACCAGTCCTGCCCCAGTCTCTCCCCAGTCTCTCCCCAGCCTGCTGGAGTTTGTCCCAGTTCATCCCAGTCCCTCTGGGCACACACCAGCACACACCAGTCCTGCCCCAGTCCCTCCGCCGTGCTCCTCAGCCTGCTGGAGGTCACCCCAGTCCGGTTAGGTCCCCTCCCAGTAGCTCCCCAGTCCAACCCAGTGGCCTCCCAGTCCTTTACAGTCCCTCCCATCAGCCTCCACTGTCCCTCGCAGTTACCTCCCAGTGCCCTTGAGTCCATCCCAGTAGCCCCCAGTCTATCCCAGTAGACTCCAGCGATCTCCAGTCTCTCCCAGTCCCATCCCAATAACACCCGTGTCCCTGAGTCCATTCCAGTGACCCCTAATCCTTCCCAGCAGCCCCCAGTCCATCCCAGCAGCCTTTGACCCCATCCCAGTAGCCCCCCGACCAATTCCAGTCCCTCCAAATTCCTCCCAGTAGCTCCCAGTCCATCTCAGTAGCCCCCAGTCCCTCCCAGTAGCCCTCCATCCATCCCAGTGCCCCCAGTCCCTCCCAGTGCCCACAGCCCATCTCAGTAACTCCCAGTCCCCTCCAGTGCCTCCAGTCCGTCCCAGTTTGCCCA